CACTGTCATATCATCTATAAAAAGATACTTTTACTTTTTCCTTCAGATTTAAATAACATTTCTTTTTTTCTGTCTAATTGGCCTGATAGGACTTCCAGCATTATGTTGAACAGAAGTGGTGAAAGCCAGTGTCCTTGGAATGCATTACTTCTTGAAGAGGGAATTCCAGCTCTACCATAGTCTACCCCCTATTTCTGTGTGGATGCTTTCCTCCATAGAAGAATGAGGTCAGCTTGGGAAAGATGGCTAATGTGATGACCTCTCACTATCCATGGACTTAGAATCACACTGGTTCTCTTCCTTTCCCCCACTATCCATTTCAAATTAACTTTGCCTTCAATTATTATCCAAGGTACTTTTAGTAGCATAACTGGTAGATTGAGCCAAAGTCTCACTTCTCAAGGATCTGAGTATCTGATAACCATATCCTTCTCAGTCTGGTGTTGTTGCATATACTCATTTAAATCACAATTGTACAAAGAAGTACCAATAGACATACAAGGAGGACATCTAAGTTCCATACCTAATACTTCCCTGCCCACACTGTGTAACAGCAGATTTACCTCCTTCTGCTGAGCAGGGTCAATCATTCCCAACATGTTGCTGACTCATCTTCTTGCCTGTTGTTCCCTGGACACAAGGAGACCAAAGTACCCAGGTAGAAGCTGTTGTCTGTAATGCTTTGCAACCCATCTGTGTTCCTCGGTGAGAGAGCATCCCCGCTGGGAATAGAACTTTTAACCCTGCAGTCCCTGAGTTTTAGTGTCAGAAATAAAGAGTTCCAGGCCTCCCCTGGTGGCATAGGTGGTTGAGCACAGCGCTGTGAAGCTATCCGTAGCCTCTGTAGCACCAGGCAGCAAGGGTCCCACATGGCACAGCAGACCTCTCCTGTCTCGCCCACTGCTCCCCTCAGCAGTGTATTTCGTCAGTCTGCCTGTTCTGTTTCCCACTCTGTCTCTGGTGAATCCTTTCACTCTCCTGCGAATCTGCCCTGTACCCCTGTTCTTATATCAATCAATAAATAAATCTTTAAAAAGAAAATAAAAAGAGTCCCCCAGTAAGTCACTGTGATAGTGATAGTGATAGCAGCTTCTTTGGTTCTTGGACTCTATATTCCCCTACTGGAGACAGTATCACATAAAGATCTCTGTTTGAATGAATACACTGTATCATGGAGGATGGTGCTCCCACTTTCAGCAAGAGTTTTTTTTTATACCCAAAAGAAATACAAGCAGTCCATAGAGAATTATCTTCCAATAGATCTCCAAATTGCTTGTCTCCTTTTAGAGTCCTGACTAGAGAAAAAAGTCATTCACCACTGCCCATAAGTCTTAATAATATATATACTCCAGCTGTATATTCTACCTTTGTAACACTTCTTCTTCCACTCAAACTGGATGACTAGGTAAACCATTCAAAGCTCTCGGAGTCCTTAGAGATTTTCCTCACTTCTGTATTTAAAGTCACCCGTGCTAATCTCAAAGTTTTGACTTTATTTTTTTGTACACTCAGAATTCTGCAACAATCAATTGCAGAACATTTTCATTACCCAAAAAGTATTCACTCCCCATTTCCCGGAAGTCTTTCCTGCACCCTGAATCTTAGGTAACTAGCTCTCTATTTTCCATCTCTTTGAATTTGTCTTATGGACATTGCATGTAAAGAAAGTTATATAATATGTAGCTTTTAGTGCCTAGCTTCCTTCACTTTAGCATGGCTCACTGTAACACTTTAAGGGTTGCTACTAACTGCTTTCATATTATTTTTATTTCACTAATAGTGAAATAAATACTAAATATTTAATATTTTAAATATTTGTATATATGCAAATATAAAGGTCTGACCTGTGTTGACTCAAAAATAAAAGGGTCCTGTCTTAGAAGGGCCTCGTGACTGGTTTGATTCTGCTGGTATCATCCTGAAGTTCTACACAATTTTTTAAAACAGGACCCCAGATTTTCAGTTAGCACTATGCCTCTCATAATATACAATAAGCCTTTCAGTTCTATTTGTCAATTGGGTTCAGTTCTCTGCTTCATGTCTGCTATGGCTGAAATGTCAAAGACAGCTTCTTCGCTCACCTATTTTGTTATCCATGTTGGGAAGGATAAGCATCTCTCTTCCGCTATGTGACTAGCTTGTCACTCCTTACAACATGGCAGTTGAGAAATAATCAGATTTCTCACATGGAGTCTTGCTTCTTTTTGAGTAATCTAAAAGCCAAGATGGGGAAATGCAAAGAATCTTATGACCTGCCCTGGAAAATCACAGAACGTCATTTCTATAACAGTATATTGGTCAAGAAAGTCACTAAGGTGATTCTGTATTCATAGGGAGGGAAATTAATCTCCTTTTCTCAATGCAAGGGGAGCAAAGATTGGCTAATGTTATTTTTAATCTAACAATGGTTAATATCCATCTAAAACATTCATTTTCAGAACTCAAAATTAGCATTTGTTATAGAAGGAATGCAGAGAGAAAGACCAATGTAATTTCAGTTTTTAAATTCAAAATAGGATTATGAAGGCAGGCAATACATTTGCAAGTCAGATTTTAAATGTTTTCTTTAAGAATATGAAAGACTAAGCCTAATTCATAAGTTATAGATTTTAAATAATGGAGAGTGACAACCTTCCTCCTTCTGTCCATTGGTGGTAGTTGTAAACAAAAAGAGAAGAGGTGAGTGAAATGTCACTTTTTCTTATCTATGATCTTAGGCTTGGAAAAGGAGGGTTCATTTGATGAGTGAAGGCAATGCTGAAAGGCAGAGGATTCCTTTGTCCATTCTTGTCATACTTCCCATTTGAGATTCTAAGAAAAGTTTGTCTTAAAGGGTCTCTTGGCTCAAAATACAAAAAGAACCAGAACACACTTGGTGCCCTGATATAGTGAGATAGAAGGGGGCTTTAGTCACCTTTCAGTATTATGCTGAGTCTACATGAGGAGAAAACTGATAGAGCAGCAGCCTTTTATAAACCAAGACTGAACATAATTTGAAAGGACTAAATTAGACTGGAATGTCAGATGAAATGTTTATCCTATACAGACCCAACCTCAAGATTGACTAGGTGTCATATCCCCATTGGTGACAAAAAGTTTTTTTTTTTAAGATTTTTTTTTAAAGATTTATTTATTTTTATATAAGAACCAGGGTACAGGCCAGATATGTGGGAGGGTGAGAGGATTTACCAGAGACAGAGTGGGGAGCAGAACAGGCAGATCTACTGAAATACACTGCTGAGGAGAGCAGCCAGCAAGACAAGAGAGGTCTGCAGGATCATGTAGGTTAGTTCCCTGGCCAGGGATCAAAATTATCCTGCAGTGGCTGGTGATAGTTTGATAGTGCTGAGACTTTAACCTCTGTGCCACTAGGGCAGACTGACAAAAAGTTTTATGAGAAAAAAATCAGAGAAGAAGGAAAGGAATAGGAAAAGAGGAAAAGGGAGTTTTTTTTTCAATTTGAGTTAAATTTGTGATTCTGCTACACTATATACATACTACATAAAACCACAAGGTGGGTTCTTGAGTTACATATAATTTCAAATATCAAACATAGGCTAGAAAGAGGAAAATCAAACCTCATGAGTTTAAATAAGAGGCTTGGGTGTGAGGTAAGACCCAAGCACATACCACAAGCAGGGTTGCCCAGGGTATTAGATATTTTTAGCGAAATAAAAGAAGGCCTGATTCATAATTCATTGCTATGAATATCCTTAGCTTTTTCTGGTAAAAAGCTGACTCAATAAATACTCAATACACAATTTTCACAGGTTTTTCCCCTTCATCTATAATATTACGATCCTATGGGCTTCCTTCTTTTCTCTGCAAATATGATTAATTACATTGATTGAATTTTCAAACATTAAACTTACCTGGCATCTCTGGGATTATTCACATTCAGTCATAATATCGCATTTACATGGGGTCAATTTTCCTTCTTTCTTTCTCAATTGCGGTAACATTGGTTTACAACACCGTATGTGATTCAGGGACATAGGTACACACTTGCTTAGACCGGCCCTCAGAGGCCCATTCCTATTTGAGAAAATATTAGAGAAAACCTTTAAGGTACACAATACACAAGAATATTTGTGAATTTGTGAGTAAAACATGGTGTAAAATACTTTATCGATCTTCACATACTATAACATGCACAACAAGTATACTATTTGGGTTAAAAGTGATTGGAAGCAGAACTAGAGAATAAATTCTTGCACTTTTTATCTCATTTATCCTTTGAAGTTATATGCACATTTTGTATAAGAAAACTTAATCCTCTACATCCAGAGACAACCATTGTTTTAATTACAGCTGATTCATAATTTATTGTTGGTTCACGGTGTGCAAACAACCGAGAAGTGTCTGGTTTTCCATTCAAGTAGGTTACAGCAAAATTTATTTTCCTATGATTTGTGAGTACTCTTGCATATTAAAAATCACTGCCCTGGTACCACAGCCTTGGGCGCCAGTGTGAATACGTTTACTGTGGTGAGGCTCACTCTACGCAAAGAAATGTGCCAACCTTGGCACAGAGATTGATAAAAACAGGCGGGGCCGGTAAATAGTCAGTTCAGAGGAATCTCAAAGCGGATAACGTGTTGAAAGCAGCAGTGAGCTGTGGCAGTTACAACGAAACCCTTACTAGGCAGTCCTCGGGACTTCGCGAGAGGTAGACACAGCCGCTAAGCCAAGCGGGGTAGGACAGGGCGCTCCCACTTTGGCGCGGGGCACCAGCGGCAGCACAGGAAGCAGTTGCCGGCGGCCGGGGGCGAGGCAACGTCACTTCCGGCCGCCCCGGCCGCGTCCTACCGCGTGATGACGGCCAGCGCGGAGCCCCGCGCTCGGCGGCCGGGAGTCGGGGTGGGCGTAGTGGTGACGAGCAGCGGGCATCCTCGCTGCGTCCTCCTCGGGAAGAGAAAGGGATCGGTCGGAGCCGGTAGTTTCCAACTTCCGGGGGGTCATCTGGAGTTCGGGTGAGCATGGGCCGGATTGACCCCCAGGAGGGCGGAGCGCGCGTAAATGACGAGCCCACGCTTGCTTGCGCGCGACGCTGGGCGGAGCTGCTCGGGCTCGGGCTGCGCCTCCTTACGCTCGTCGGATTTGTGAGATTTGCTTCTTAGTGCTTGTAAACCTCGAGCAGCCCAGTTTTGTCAGTTAAGGCATTTGCACGGCGTCCCTGGATTGCAGCATGCACAGATGCGTGCTACTTCCCGCTGTCGTTTGGCTAACCGAGCAGATGGGCTAGTGACATTCTCTAGGTCTGGTTTCTTCATCTATTAAAGGGGGATGTTGGATGAAGTACTCTTTGTTTTTGTTTGTTTGTTTGTTGTTGTTTTTTGTGGGACCCTCGCCGGCGGCCCGGGGAACGAACCGGCGCTGCAGAGGCTGCGGGCAGCCTCTCAGCCCAGCGCTCAACCGCTGCGCCACCGGGAGGCCCGGAATGAAGTACTCTTTAAGCTCCCTCTCTGCTTTGGCATTCTGTGATTTGATGATATACAGACCAACAAGGAAGGTTGGACAGTTAAGTGTTCTACACAACGGTGAAGGAAGCCTGGGCCACCTCGTAGCATACCACCCTCCATTTCTTTCTGCTGGGTTCCTGTCAACCTCTGGTGTCTGCTTGGCCCACAGGAATGATGAAAACACTGCTACCCTTTTTCGTGGATCAGTCATCCACGGCTGCTCTAGCCAGCCTCCTGCATTGCAAATTCCCTAAGCGCGAATAAACATCAGCCTCGGTATTCACGTGCACCTCTAAACACCCAGGGACACTTTTTAGACTAAGGTATCCATTTGTTCCTATCACTCTTCCTCTGATGCATTGGAGTAGGTCTGTGTGTTTCCTCAGTTCAGTAGGTCTTCAGCAGGGAATTAACATACCCACATCCACACTCCCATCTCCTTAACACACATCCACACGGACTAATTCTTGTGGAGTGTGCTTCACTTGGGTTGGGGCCAGAGTTGGCCCCGATTAGAAGGAAAGAAACATTCCTATCAGTGAGAAAACTCACAGCCTCTCTCCTTCCCAAAGATCCAGTCTTAAGGACATGGGTAGGGTGAAGGTCAAAAACTTGTTATACCTTCCCTAGCAAATCCTTGGGGTCACATGGGATCTGTTTACTCTTTTGCCTTACTCTTCAGAATTTAGAGGTGTTTATTGCCCATTGTCCTTAATTTTGAGGCATAAACTAAAATTCTGAGATTATAGGAAAAGACATAACCCACTTTTTGATGTACTTAAAATGACCCCATGAGAAAGTTGCATTACTTCTTCCTGCTTGTCCAACATAGAGCATAATGAACTTCAAACTCAAACCTAGGTCTAGTTGACTCCAAAGATTACTCTTACCTAATATATTAAATTGCCTCCAGGTTGCATGGAAACTAGTGCTGAATTGACTGAATGTTAATTTTTTTGTTATGTGAAATCTTTTTGGTCTTCAAATAACTAGATGGGGATTATATAGAATGTCAAAGCAGGGTTGTGGATTTATTGTTTTAAAGCATGAACCAACTACAGTTCTTTTTGCTTTACGCTAGAAATTTCTAGCCAAGAATTTCATGGCAAAAAACACTTACATAAATAGAATTGAATACAATGGTATATTTCTATTTTCTAGTGAAAGCTGGGAAGAATGTGCTCAAAGGGAAACCTGGGAAGAAGCAGCTCTTCATCTGAAAAATGTTCGCTTTGCCTCTGTTGTGAATTCTTTTGTTGAGGAAGAAAATTATCATTTTGTCACTATATTAATGAAAGCAGAGGTGGACATGACACATGATTCAGAACCAAAGAATGTAGAGCCTGAAAAAAATGAAAGTAAGAGAACTATACATGAAAATGCATTTTCTTTGAGGTGATCCTATCATCTGAAGGAATACTACATTATGTTGCCATATGAAGAAATTAGATAGGTAAATATAGTTTACTTCTGGAGACAAAAGTACATAACAGAGGGAAGTGGCTCTTGACTCAGACTACTTGGTTTGTGTCATTTCTTCCAAGTATTTAGGTCTCCAGGCCTCTTTTCTCATCTATTACAATAGAAACTACCTAAGGTGGGGGTTGCTTTAAAGATAAAATGTGTGAATATATATAAAGATGCACACAGTTAAGTACTCAGTAAATGTTAGTTTTAAATTTTGTTTCAAACTGTGGTTTTTAAGCAAAACATTTAAGGTGTCTTCTTCCATTTCTCACCAGTGCAAGAAAGGTAGTAACTTTCTTATATAGAGAATGATTAACCTGACACAACAGTTCTGTTATTTTGGACTGATGGCTCTAAAAGTTTTAATGACAATGACTGGTATTATTTACTGCATGCTAAGCACTGTTCTAGGGATTTTGCATTTATCATCTCTTCAAATTCTGTAAAATTTCATGAGAAAATGAAGAGAAAAATGTCAAACTTATTGAAAATATTATTTGCCATATAACAAACCTCTGTATGTGAGGTTTTCAAATGTGGTATCTAGTTTGGCCTACTTTTTAACAACTTCTAAAAGATTCTTATTGTACTTTATAAGATTCTGTATTAGATATTTTGTTACTCTAGTGCTCTCTGTATTTTCCCCCTAAAATAAAGTAGTTTTAACAAGCATCAAGACTTTTTTATAACAAATTTTGAATTTATCCACCTTCATTTTGTTAACCCTCTGACTTTCTAGTAATCTTAAATTTCAAGCATTGTGATTTTACAAGGCCTGAGGTTACTAGCACCAATTCAGATTTGATCAGAAACACTTGTTCCTCTGTAGGCCCTAGTAGCAGTATGGCAGGACATTTTATTCCAGGTTGAGAGCCTTTGCTAATAGCACCTTGGCTGGTAAACAGCTGCAGCCTGGCCAAGGTGCAGTGGCTCAGAGCATCTCTTACTTCTAATTTAGAGATGCAGTGTCTGTTCCATGTTCACCAGGTCCTGGATCTAGATATCCTTCAAGTTACTATTTGTTGCATTTTCCTCCAGCCATCTGTTATAATTAGGAGGGTCATCCATATACTTTGTTTTCTAGAAGGGGGATAAACTGCTGCAGCTCTTCTGAAAATCCTTAATTCAGCACCTGGCAGCACATTGTCAGGCTTGCACTCTCCCTCTCTCATAGTGTGTGGTCGTAGTTGCTAAGCAGCCCTTTCTGTGCTGGCTCCAGTGTCATGCATTCTTTGTCTCCTGCCTTCCTAGAGTGAAACTACATACTTGAACTTCTCAAGAAGGGAAATACTTAGTGGAAGGAACAATATTTACACATAGGTATATACAGGTAATCATAAAGAAACTTATTTAGAACATAGACTGTCCACCTTAATAAAATATTTATATAGTCACCTGGAATGAGCATCTGTACTTTTATATCATTTACATTTAAACCATCAATGAAAATATTATTCCCTAGAATCTTTTCCTAGGATTTCATGTTTTTACAAATATTAAATGTAGTTGTTTTTCCTGTTTTAATGGATTTTTTAAAAAGATTGATATATTTATGCATACAAGAACTGGGGTATGGGACAGAGGTGCAGGGGGGTGGGGTGAGAGGATTCATCAGAGACAGTGGGGAGCAGAACAGGCAGACTGAAATACACTGCTAAGGGGAGCAGCAGGCGAGACAGGAGAGGTCTACTGCACCATGTGGGTAGCTCCCTGGCCACTGGGGATCAAACTTATGGTGCAGAGACCTTGGATAGCCTCATAGTGCTGCGTCTTAACCCCTTGAGCCACCAGGGAGGCCTTAATGCATTTTTATAAAACCAGTTCTCTCCATATTTGTCTACCTGAAAGGCATTGCAGCATAACATTTTAATTCTCGCCACAGCTTCAGGAACCTTTTTTGAAAGAGATGGAGGATAGCTTAGAAATTCTGTAGTTACCTTTTTTAAGATTTATTTACTTATGCATACAAGAACTGGGGTGTAGGCCAGAGGTGTGGGGTGGGTGGGTGAGAGGATTCACCAGAGACAGAGTAGGGAGCAGAACAGGCAGACTGACTGAAATACACTGCTGAGGGGAGCAGCAGGCAAGACAGGAGAGGTGTGCTGTGCCATGTGGGCTAGCTCCCTGACAGGGGATTGAACACATGCCACAGTGGCTGGCGATAGCTTGATAGTGCTGAGACTTTAACCCTTGTGCCACCAGGGAGGCCCAATTTTGTAGTTACCTTATTTCATAGGTGAGGAAACTGGTTTGTAATTGAAAATGATATAATCCCAGTGCATTTTGTCAGATATTTATATGAAAACTGAATGATTTTAATCTGAGCTTTGCCACATATGGCCCTTGTAAACTTGGCTTAATGTTCAAATAACAGCATGTTTTAAATGATTACTAGTCCTTCATTCTAAATGCAGTTATGTTTATATACATAATACACAGCATCACTGTTACATTATGTCATTAGTAACAAATAATTTTGTCATTTTTTTCTAAGTATAGGTTAGCTTGCCAAAATAAATATTCTTTTCAACTAAATAAATTGATTTGGTATCTCTTTTTTAGGTTGGGAGTGGGTTCCTTGGGAAGAATTTCCTCCACTGGACCAGCTCTTCTGGGCACTACGTTGTTTAAAGGAACAAGGCTATGATCCATTTAAAGAAGATTTAGATCACCTCTTAGGATACAAAGGAAATCATCTCCAGGTGAACAAGAAGAGTCCCTGATTTTTTTTTTTAAGACGAAATAAGATCTGGTTTGAGAATGAAAAATATCTACATTTCAGAATCCATTTTATCCAAAAAGTTCCATATTGCCAATTTTATTTGCAGTCTCCTAATATACCCACCACCATTTCAACTAGTTCTTGTGAAAAATTTTCTGGATTTATGTCACGATTGTTTCAGATGCCAAAAAGTTGTGATAAATGGTGGTCATGTGGTTAATCTTTTCACATTTCTTTGGTATTTACTGTGCAGTGTCAATGCCAGATGCATGGAGATGAAGTGCAATTCAATTTGCCTTAGTGTTTCAGTTAAAATAGAGATTCTAATTCAGATCCTAACACAGTATGCCTGTATCATGCTACTGTATCACAGTAGCATTTATCATGTCTATTGACTTTCCTCTTCTGTTTTATTTAAATTTTTAAAATGTTTGATAATATATTGGGGTAGTCTTTGCAAACAGAACAAACAGGGCAGATAATTAGGGTTTATTTCCCCAGGTTTCTACTTAAGAAATACAGAGAAATTACAACAAACCAGCTAAGATTTGTATCTAGTCACTAACAGACCATGTGATACTGGGTTTCTCATTTCATCTTTGTGAGATCCAGCATCCTTGTATTTAAAATGAGGTGAGATGTGGACAGTGATTGTGAAACTACTGGGGAGGTCCTTGAGACCCTTTCAAGGCTATTTAAGGTCAAAACTATTTTTGTGATACTAAGACATTTGTCTTTTTCACTTTCTTTCATGACCGTACAAAGGAGTTTTCTAGAGGTTACATGATGTTGACATTGTAAAAGACTGACTACAAAGCAGATGTGAGAATTCAGCTTTTATTAAACTAGACATTAAAGAAATTTGCAAAAATGTAAAGCACTGTCATGCTTGTCACTTTGTTTTTGAAAAACAGTTAACTTTCCATAAGTTATTTTTGTTAACATATAATGGATTTTTGTTATTTGCAAATGATTTAATAAATTTTTTTAAATTTCTGTTTTCTTTTTTTAAAAAAGATTTATTTTACTTATTTATGCATACAAGAGCTGGGATGCAGGCCAGAAGTGGGGGGGAGTGAGGATTCACCAGAGACAGTGGGGAGCAGAACAGGAGGATTAACTGAAATACACTGCTAAGGGGAGCAGCAGGCAAATCAGGAGAGGTCTGCTGTGTCATCTGAGTTAGCTCCCTGGCCAGGGATCGAACTTGTGCTGCAGTGGCTGCCGATAGCTTCATAATGCTGAGACTTAATCCCTTGCATCACCAGGCAGGCCCTCAGTTTTATATATGATTAGATAAAATCCTACAAAAACATCTTTGGCCTCAGTAATTTTTAAGAGTGTACAGGGGTTCAGTGCTAAATGGTAGAGAACCACTAGAAAAGTTTCATATAGAAGGAGATTGCATTCACCTCAGCATCTAATATGTTTAGTGCATCCAGTGATGACTTGGTATTTCTCTAAATGCATGATTGCATGGAACAAAATTTAGTACTCTTAAATAGTTAATTCTTAGATAATTTGAGAATCAGCTTTAGTCAAATAAATTAATGCTGACTACCAGCAATGTTCTCATAGTTTGCCAGTTACTGGGAAGTCTGAAATATCTCTTCATCCGTTTGCTAAATCAAGTCCTGAGTTGTTGTCCATCTTAACACAGGTATGTGCTCCAGTGCTACCTTTCAACATCCTAAAAAGTTATTCCAGAGGTATACATGAATTTAGTCTCTCTTAGATGCACTTGGAAAAGATACTTCTTTGTTATCCTAACTGCCAGCTAGTTCTAATAAGGCAAATGCTTTCAGATGAAATATTCTCGCCTTTGAGGCACCAAGGATCATGTTACCCAGGAATTGTGCAATAGGAAAGCTCAGGAAGTCATCTGTTATGGGAGAAAACATACAAAATCTTCACTGAAAGTAAAATCACATTCTGATGATTCCTATTTTAAAAAAAGAATTTGATTAGTTATGATGTACACAGAAGTAAGTGTTGCACTTCAGAAGTGTATGAAAAATGCAAATTATAGAAAAATGATGCACATGGACTAGGAGGTATGTACTAAGCCTTCCATTTTACGGACTTCAAGAAATTATACATGCAAGTCTTCCATGAACATTTAATTTGCGTATAATGTGACAGATGCTTAATAATATTTATACTATCAATTCAATCTATCACTTATTTAAGCCTTAATATAAACACATCCTTCTACTGTAAATTAAATGTTACTTCCTTAAGTCTTAAGCACAGTTCCCGTTCCAGATTTTTCCCTATTTTTGTGTAGAATATTTAAGTATTTGACTTTTTGCATATTGCTTAATAGCTTTATATGCAATGATGTATCACTCCTCTTTTTATTTATTACAACAGTTTAGGAGCAATAAGAACAAAGTTCCAAGTAAGCAAGCCAAGATTTTTAGCAGTCCTCTAACTTGATGTGTCCAAACTGAACTTCCTCCTGTGTGCGCTCAGGGAATGGCTGTACCATCTGCTCAACTGCTCAACAGATAACTCCCTTTCCTTACTTACATCAGTCTGTCTTTTTCAATCTATTTCTTTATGTCTATAGAATCCAGCCTTTAACACGTTGTTGTTCCAACTACCTCTTTCTGGGTCCAGGTCTTTTATTATCTTTTCTCCAGCTCCTGCAATTTACTCCTGATTGATCGATTGATGTAAGAATACATATAACTAAGATTTAGCATCTGAACCCATTGACTTATTTTTGGCATTAGTTCTAGGGTGACTGTTGAAAGCCTAAGTTTGGTCATGTCTTTTAAAATTTATTTTCATCTTTTTACAACATTATTTATTTTTAAACAGTATTTGCTCCTCGCCCTCCCTGCCTCCTCTGCCTGCCAGTGTAGACCCCATAGAATTTCCTTCACCAGTGCACCCATGCACCATCACCTCAGTCCCCTGTGCTCCTCCCTCCCTCCCTCTGATCTTGCTCCCTCCTCCTCCCCTGCAGTATGTTTCTGATTTATAATTGTCTGTTTTTGTTTTCTTGTGTTGGTCATGTCTCGTCTTCCCAAATTTCTTTAGAAATTGCACATTGCTGGTAGGATAAAATCTTTAACCTGAGATGCAAGGTCTTTCAGTCCCTAGACTAACTTTTCCCATCACTTTCTCATACCCTACACTCTTAGTGTATTTCTTTATTCTTGTTCAAATGTACCATGATGTTTTCTACCTCCTCGTATGTCTGAAACTCTCAGACTTAAAAAGTTTTGATTTTGCAGGTTTTGATTGATAGGGAGGTTACAAATATGTATTGGTCTACTTCTAAGTAGCGGTGAACATACTCAGCCATTAATCATACATGCTACATGCACCCCATGTTCAGCTGAGTGTGGATATTTAAGTATTATAAAGAGGGGTTGCATTTTCTATGTAAAAGACATGGCTCTGTAGCCTCTGAGCAGACTTCTGTAGCTGGACCTGGCTGAGGGCTGACTGGGAGCTTGCCCTGGCTTCTTAGTCAATAGTTACCAGGGTCAGGGTAATTGCTGTTCTGGTCGACATGCAGGATGCTGCTTATGCTGATCCTGCAGGAATACATGGCTACTTATACCACAAGGATTAAAATAGCAAGATTAGCATTTCTTTCATTAAGCAGCTATTTTTATCAGTGCCAAAGACCTTGCCTTTGCTTGTATATTATGGATAACCCTTTCCCTTTTATACCTAAGGACTCAACTTGTTGTTTTATTTTTTTTTTTTAAGATTTATCTTTTATACAAGAACCGGGGTACAGGCCAGATGCGTGGGAGGGTGGGAGGATTCACCAGAAACAGCAGGGAAGAAAACAGGCAGACTGACGAAATACAGTGCTGAGGGCAGCAGTGGGTGCGACAGGAGGGGTCTGCTGTGCCACGTGGGACCCACGCCAAGTGGCCGGGATTGAACCCGCGCTGCAGAGGCTGCGGACAGCTTCACAGCGCTGCGCTGAACTACCTGTGCCACCAGGGGAGGCACCTAACTTGTTTTAAAGATCAGACATTATTGCTTTTCACAAAGAGCGCAGAAAGCAAAGGAAACCACTGCCCCTCCCAGATTTGAAGTGTTTTGAAGGCCAAGACAAGTCTGAAGGGCATCCACAACAGAAAAAAAATCCTCAGTCCTCAGGTCACATACATTCCCTCTGCCCACGACACAACAGGTCTTAAGGTAGCTGAAATATTCTTGGAAGAGCACCACAAGGAGAAACAAGCTTGACCAGTATGTTATCAAGTGTCCCTCCCCCCACCATCACCACCAAGTCAGCCATGAAGAACAGAAGATAACACACTATTCATTGTGGATGTCAAGGTCAACAGGAACCAGATCAAATGGGCTCTGAAAAAAACTCTATGGCACCAACTTGGCCAAGGTCAAAACCCTGTTCAGAACTGATAACTAGAAGGCAGCATTTTTTTAACTGCTAAAAAACCTCCATTTTTTTTTTTAAAGATTTATTTATTTATACAAGAACAGGGCAACAGGCCAGAGGCGCAGGAGGGTGAGAGAATTCACCAGAGACAGAGAGGGGAGAACAGGAAGACTGACCTAAAGCACTGCTGAGGGGAGCAGCGGGCGAGGCAGGAGAGGTCTGCCGCGCCATGTGGGTATCTCCCCAACTGGCCAGGAATGGAACCCACACTGCAGAGGCTGTGGATAGCTTCAGTGCTACACTTAACCTGCTGCGACACCAGGGAGGCCCCTCATTTTTCTTAAGAACAGCAGTTTAGGTCTTTGTGAAGCCCGCCTGTTTGATTACAAGTAGTCAGATGTCTCCATCACATATGTTCATTCTCATTCCAGAATTCTACTTACGTATGAAATGAAACTGTTTATAGAATTTCCTGCTTATAGTGAAAGTACACTGAACTTAAAAAGAGTATAAACAAGTGAGTTTATTTATAAAAATTACAATAGTTACAAATAGTACAAATTGAGGTAATTTTTCTCCTGTTCCTGTGACAGAGCCTTCACTTTTAAATGAGGGTTTTTGTTATTTGTACATGAATGATTCACTGTCTTTTTCAAAAAATGCTTCAGATTAATTCCAGGAGACCTATTAGTGATATATACATGAGTCATCTCCATCCAGTTTTATTTCCAAAACTACTATGTACAAGTCCAACACAAATGGAGTACAACAAGGCAAAATAGCACTGAACAGAATAATCTTTTTTCCAATAATAAATTTTGATTATTCTCTCAATATTCATTTAGTGGTTTAGAACTTAAACCATGATTTTTGGCTTTAAAAACAAAGTTCACTATGATTTTTAATGGGCTATACAATTTTACTATAGCCAGTATTACCTATATTATTTTACAGGTTTGCTATTGTTTAGGAAACAGAACTAAAATAATTGATTGTTACTTTTTTTTTTTTTTCTTTTTTAATCAGAGTCACTACTACTGCTAGAGGAATCTGTTGACATAACCTCTACATCATCTTCATTTTCTTTATTATGCCCTGGAGGTTCTAACAAAAAGTCATTACTGTGATTTGGTGGTAACATATTCATCGACATATCATTTGACTGCCATGGGTACTGAGGTGCAAGGACATCTGGAGAAAAGAAAGAAAAATGTGTTAGAACATTTCTACTACTAAGTAATTCCCTTCATGAAAATTTTTGAAGCAAATGTTTTTTAAGGCTAGAAATCAAAATACACATTGGCTAAAGTATTTAATAAAGATTAAATTTATCAAGGAAAAAGGACATACTTTAGTAACTAGAACCTGTGGTGTTTTTTAAAAATCATACTTTCTTATAAGTAACTTCAAATATCAGTTGACATGGCAATTTCTTTTTTGCAGGACATTCATAATTACAAATCAAATGTTTATCTATGCTATATGTATATATAATATACACTTTATTAGTTCACATGTCACTCCATTTATGAGTAGCTAATTATATATACCAATATTAAGTAATTAGTAAGTTTAAACAATTTCTTAGAAGACAGAGGAGCTGCTTTTGTAAATGATTCTCATCAAAGAAAATATATGTATGTTAGAAATACAACAAAAACCATCCAGGTCTAACTAATAATCTGTTTCCCAAGAAAGGGAATGTAGCATATAAACAGGTATAGTCCAAGGCTGAAGTAAATTTTAAAAGAGTTGAAAGAAAGAGTTACATTATTAACTGAATAGGTATGCCAGATATCAAAATTCCTCTTAAGCTTCAAATTTATGCTTCTGTCTAGACTCTGAAAGCATATCTCCTTTGCCAGTAGCCACAACCTAGGCTTTGTACAGTAGCAGGTGCTGGAGGGACTCTGCAGGAATAGTTTTCTTTTCCTGGATCCAGTGTTTTCCTCCTTATTCCTTCTGTGCTGGTGTGATGTGCAGTTCAAGTCCTGCTCATCTCCTAGCCCTATCAAGTTTCATTGGCTTCCCAAAATCAGTTTCACTCTTAACCCAAAAAGAGGCTTCCAAGTATATGTCCCAGAACCTCAATGGGTAATATCCTGTTTGCCAGTTCTGGCCTGTGGGTCACAGCTACACCCCTGAAACAAGAGTACCATGATATGAACTTTGGCCTTGGCATAAGGGTGGGCAGGAGCCTCTTCTTGGTTTGTCTCTGGTAACTGCTGCCCATATGTGTTACTCCTGTTTAAAAAAAAAGTTATTGGGGCCTCCCCGGTGGCACAGCAGGTTGAGTGCAGCGCTGTGAGGATGTCTACAGCCTCTGCAGCGCGGGTTCGATTCCCAGCCTGCCAGGAAGATACCCACGTGGCGCGGCAAACCTCTCCTGTCTCGCCTGCGCTCCCCTCAGCAGTGCTTTAGTTCAACCTGCCTGTTCTGCTCCCCGCTCTTTCTCTGGTGAATTCTCTCACCCTCCCGCGCATCTGGACTGTATCCCAGTTCTTGTATAAATAAGTAAAATCTTAAAAAAAAAAAAAGTTCTTTATCCTTTAGTATCTTGTGACTAGTTAATGATTCTTTAGAATTTTCCTTGCTGTTATGTGATTTCTTTCTTCTGACTAGACTATGGTAGGTGACACAGTACAATCACAATGAGAAAAATTAGGGAAATTAATGTAGTGACTTCTTGTTTGTACTTTATATTTAACAAAAATGATGCTTACAAAGCCATTCTTAGTAACATGGGAAATCTTACATTGAAATGTTAAGCAAACAAAAATAATTATTTAAACTACCTAAAAATTTACAGGGAAAAATGAAATAGGTAAATATTAAATCTAATTGCTCAAAAAAGGGTAATTTTTTCTTTTTTATACCATTTTTTAACTTTTAAAATGTTTTATCAGAGCAAGTCATATGCAAGAGATAGAATTGGAGAATATAAAATATAAGACTAGCACAAATCTATATGTAAAATTTGAGGAAGACTGAAATCAGAATGTGCCTAATGCTTTTATATAAAGTTAGTAAAAAAGTCTTTAGAAAGATCTGTTATTCATTTTCTTAACTTGGGTTTTTTTTCAGGAGTGTATTTACTTTACATGCTTTAAATTGAACATGTATATTTTTTTCTCTACGCTACACAGTATGTTTCACAATCTTTAAAATACTGTTTAGAGCAATAATAAAGGAGAGGCCAAATGCCTGAGGAAGGGGCATATTAACATGTGAGGAGAAATTCTGATTTCATTACTCCCATCTAGAAGTCTTTAAACTAGAATAAGTAGAAAGCAGGATTAACTGCAGAGAGCACAGCTATTAAAATAAGTCAGGTTTGGAACCTCAAACCTGTTCAACAGCCAGGCATTCCATCATTAGCAGATCTGAAAAATAAAGTTTGAAAGCATTCTTCTCATTAATATTACCTGGCAATCGGCCTGCTGCAAGTGCATCTCCTGGTAAGTGACCATTCACACCATTAGTTGAAGGATTATTCATCTGACCCAATAATCCACTTCTCATCTCCAAATCAGTTGGGTATGGTCTTCGTGGGTCCCCTTAAAAAAAAAGAGGGGAGGGGAGCTATTTTAATTACTTTCATTTATATACAAACTATGAATTTTTTCTCTCAAGTATTAATTTTCCTTGGTTAACTTTGAAAAACAAGCTACGTTGTCAATTTTGGAATTGATGGTTATTTTATCAATGGTTAGAGTATAATATACTAAAAAATATATGTATTTTAATTTCTTCTCTGAATCTTAACAATAATATACTATTCCCCAGATTTTGAAAAAATAACTGTCATTTTAGGAAACATTCCAAATGACAATTTATTTAAAATGCTTATAATGATCTTGATTGTTCTGACTTGCATCACCTAATAAGAAAATAACAATGATACTCTAAGGGATGCCAACACACTTTTTTTTTTAATATAAAATAGAAAGGACTGGAATTAAAACCTTCATCTTAACCACCTCTTTGTTAGTTATTCCTATACTTTGCAGTGGAATATCAGGAACTACCTATAGTTATAAAAGTATACTAAACAGCAGGCTTAGGTTGATAAAAATTTGCCCAGATTTGGACAAACTTTTTGGCAGTATTTACACAAATATCAGATTCTTACGCACAACTGCCCTACCTACCCCTCACCCCCACTGAAAGGAAAAAAAAACAAAACAACACACCTGTAGCCACCTTAATGCTTTCAGTATGGGAAAATACCAGCATCGTGAATTACTAAAGTTGCCATAACTCTCCCATTCCTCCCAAAACACTGTTGGCAGCTTTACCTTAGGATTCCATCTTCTAAACATTTTATTGACTGTCAGCGTAGTCGCAGCTTATTACCCTTTGTTGTTTCTATTTACTCCAGTTCTTTCCAGTTTTGTGTGCTTGTTTTGGGTGCTCAATGCTTCATCTTTTATCACCTAACAGTTGGTACTGTTTCCCCAGCTGGAATCTTTGTGGAAGACCGAAATGGCTCTAAAATGTTGGCTTCTGGGCCAGCCTTGGTTTTATAAATTCAGTTTTAGAATCATCACATTATTTTATATTTTAAAAAGAATTCTTATTTTTTAAAAGGAAAGAAACAGTTCCTAGTAACAATGGCTTTGTAGAAACCAAATTGATAAATTTCATGATCTATATTCTTACTTATAAGACATAAAAGATGTGAAAATATGTAACAGATGTTTCTAAAGGCACATACATTCCATATTTAATCTTCATTCCCTATTTCTGTACAGTTTCCAAAGAATTTTCAAAACTACATATATAGCTCATGAAAAAAAAGGGAAGTATTTTTACCTGGAACCCAGGTCAGTGGGGCACATACAGCATTACTTGCACTAATCCTATGTGCATATTTAATTATTTCTTCAGAGGAGATAGCACCTGAGAGGATTAAGAAGAAAATGTAATGTTTTAGTCTATAAGTTTGCAAATGGATGTATCATAGTTACATTATATTTTAATTATCTGAAAACAGGATAATCTGAGCTAACAACTTTCCTAACAGTACCTATGTATACATTGTAAGCATAAATTTTATGTCTCCTAACTAAAGAACAGACATTCAGAAAAATTAGCTAAAGTAATTAAAAGTATCAAATTTGAGGGCCTCCCCTGTGGCGCCCGGTTGAGCACTGGATTGTGAAGCTGTCTGCTGCCTCTGCAGCGCTGGTTCGATCCCTGGCCGCCAGGAGAGGGGCCCACATGGTGCACAGACCTCCCCTGCCGCCTGCTGCTCCCCTCAGCAGTGTATTTTGTCAGTCTGCCTGTTCTGTTCCCCGCTCTGGCTCTGGTGAATTCTCCCACCCTCCCGCGCTTCTGACTGTACCCAGTGCTTGTATAAATAAATAAATAAATCTTAAAAAAAAAAGCATCAAATTTGAGATACTAGAATAGTCAACACTCAACCCCAATTATTAACTATCAATAAATACTATTACTGTTTTGAAAGCAACAGTAAACACAAATAAGAGAAAACAAGAGTGTTTTACCTCACAGTGACACCCAAACTATTTAAACAGAGCAGCAATTCATACTCCACTACTCAACTATTTGTATATATGATCATGGGCTGTAAGGAGCTCTAACTATAACAATGCCCATAATGTATTCATTAAGTGAAAAGAAAAGGAAGCTGCAAAATATGCATCTCATGACCTGACACTATTAGAAATAAAAAAATATTAAAATATTTTTGTTTTAGAATGTATGTACATAACTGTATTTGTATTATTATTATATATATACAGATGCACAGATCAAATAAAAAAAAAAAATCTGGAAGGACACCAAACATGAACACTAGTTAACTGAAACAGGAAAACAAAACAAATCTGAGACTACTAAATGTAAAGCCTTACTACAAAAAATAAATAGCAAAACTAAAATTTTCCTTATAAATCTGTTAGAATTCAATCTAAATGATCAAAAAAGGAAGCTTTTTAAAGAGAAGCCATTTGGAACAGGAAGGTATGCCAGACCTTCTGCACTGCTACATGTACATACATTACAACTTCATTAGCTAATTCTGTGCTACCCCATTCCAGTTCACCAATGGATGATCTCTTTCAGTTTCTGACCTATCTTTAAGCTCCAATGGAAATCCCAATTGCTTCTAACCCATAATTTTCTTTCTATCTCAATAATTTTATAAAACCCATGACTTTATTGCACATTTGGGCACAAAGCCTCAACCTATTTTATACAACTGCTTCTTCTAACCAGAGAAAGAATGGAATACAACCTAAAAGCACCTAGCATAGTGTTACAACACAGTAGATATCTACAATGAAAATTTATTGGCACCTTTTCAATAGCAATAAGCTCATCACTTTCTTGAAATCAAAACCTGGATTTTTTAGAAGGCCAGTCAATGCTCTCACAGTACTAACCTTTTCTTGCTTTTTCTATTGATTTGAGTTTTTCTTTTGCTTGGTAAACAGCTGTTGCCTAATTTGAACAAAATTTTAAAGAGAGATATGATTTATTCTTAACTATATCAAGCAAAGTTTTAGGCTTAACTTACAAAATCATTTACCTCACAGAACAACTACACAATTTGAAAATCCCCACAACTTATTTGTAATGTTCTAAAATACCATTGGCTAGCATTTATATCAGTTACATTTAATAAAAACATTTATAAGTCTATTCACAAATGAGTTATTAGAAACAAAAGCATACAGGGAATTTTCCCAATGTTTCTTCTTTATTTCTATCATATAAATGCAGAAAAAATCCAGGCTACATTAAAGCATCCTATTCTTGCATCTAGTTCAAGAATAAAACAGCTAAAAATTGTTTTTCCAATTTTCCAATTTTTATACACACATTTATTCATTTTACCTCCATGTTTAATGACTGTTACAGAGTCTTCCAACCGCTCCCTATCCCACAAAGGTAAACCTGATGATAAAATTAAGGTAACTTACATATACTAGTATATCCATACGCAACTTATGACACTGTGGTTAAGAGTATGCAGTCAGACACATCTAGCTTAAAGTTCCATCTCTAGTTACCCTTATTGAACAAGGTAATTATTTATTAGGGTCTTGATTTCCTTGCCTATAAAATGGGTACCCCATACTGAAATGTTATGAAGACTGAGATAATGCATGTAAAGTGCAAATCACAGGGCATAATGCACAAGTGCTCAATATATGTTAGTTGCTAATATCTAAATCATAAAATTCAGTCTTTTTTTAGCCCCTTTTTCACTCTTTAACTCAATAATTACATTTTGGGAACTCTAATCTGAAGAATATAATCACAAATGGGGAAAAAAAGCTTTTCTTTTTTTTTTTAAGGATAGTCATCAAAGGAGTATTTATAACAGAATGCTGGAAAACTAAAAAGTAACAATTATATCAAAAATACTTAAGTGTAAACAGCAACACAAAGTTAGTATCCTGCTAATTATAGCAAGGGAAAAAATGAATACACCTGAGACTGAGAGGAACCTTGCCAAACCGAACAGGAGTGGCAATCACTGAGCAGTGGGATATAAGAATACTCTTCTGTATTTCCTTAGTATCTTTTTGATAAGGAAGAATTACTTTCCTACTGGAAAATAGATTTTGGCATATTTTTGAGAAAATATTCATTTGCAAATGTTTCTTCAAGTAGGAGTGATCATTAACCCTGAACCACTGAGGCTTATATTTATTGAAGCCCCTTTAAAACATTTTTGAAAAGGTTCACCAAGGGAAAAGATGCCAGGAATGTATAGTCTACACTAGAATTAAACCAGTTGCTCTGCAATGCTACTATATAACAATTACATTAGTTATTTAGTCAAATCATTGGGAAAATGATCATAAAAGCATTGCCCTTTTGAAACAGTGACCGAGAATATGAAAGGCAAAGGTAAAGTTCTGAACATATCCAAATCCCACCTACTTTTGGATGGAAGGCTAAATTATCACACATTTTAACCAATTTAAAAAACTGACACATACAGTTGATCCCTGAACAAAGGAGAAATGAGGTATGCCAACTCTCCATGCAGTCAAATTTCCTTATATAACTTTCGACTCTCCAAAAACTTTACTACAAATCTGCTGTTCACTAGAAGCCTTAACAATACATTAACAGTCTATTAGCAAATATTTTTTATGTTGTATTTTAAAACTATATTTTTACAATAAAGTAGGGTAGAGAAAAGAAAATGTCATTAAGCAAATCATAGAGAAAATATGTTAACAGCAATGTACTATATTTATCAATACTGTAAGTTTCTATCATCTGTTTACAAGGAAATTCTAGTATAAGTGCACTTGCTCAGTTCCAACCTGTTATGTTCAAGGATCAAATATATTTACTAGTTCAAAAGTATTTTTGAAACTGAACTAAAGATTAGACTATAAATAACTGAAAATTACATTAGAACAGGACAAAGTGAAACTTCCCATTTCCATAATGAAATCCTGGGAAACCTTCAAGTAATGAAAACGCAGTTCCAAAGTAAAGCAGACTATCCAAAAACATTTAAGCTAAAAAGGGGATGACAATTGCCTTCATTTAACTAAACTGGTAAGTTGTCCCTTTCAGACATGGAAAGTCAAGTTTTCTGCCATTTCAAAATACTTGTAATAGATGTATTTTTCAGAAATAATACTTTTCTTAAACTTAAGAATCAGTCACTATCAACTTACCAGTATTTGTTCTGCTTCCTTCAACTGTTTTTGCAGTTGCTGAATATCACTGTCTCTCTTCTCTACTTCTTTTTCTAAAACTTGCATTTCATGATAGATTTTTCCCTGGTTAAGTGCCAATTTCATCAATTCTTGAAATTCCCCATCTCTGTGAATTAGCAACTCAAGTACCTGTTAGATAACAGTTGGTTAAGGTAGGCAACAGACTGTTGCAAGTTATAGTTTAATAAAACAAAGAATCCGTATATCAACTGATTAGGCTATATATTAACACCTTTAAAATACTATTTCTAATCCTTATCAAGAATAAAAATAGCTTAACCATGATTATTTTAGAAAACGGATTAATATCAAGACTTCTCAGACTTTCTAATTATATGTTATTTTTTCACACAGGATAAGCCTTTCAGAACTATAAGAAGCCAAAATCAGCAGGTTTACTATTTCCTAGTGAAGATCTAGGATAAACATGATTTACAAAAAGTGATTTAAAAAAATAAGTAAATAAATAGGTAATATGCAGATATGACAAAAAAGTATGAAGGTTAAAAGGCTGGGTTCAACTTTCTAGTCCTCCAAACACATCATAAAATAAAACTATATAAAATAACTATATAAAATAGACAGTGGGAAAAGAGGTCTAGTACAAACTGTCTCCTATCTTATAGCTTTAGAAAGATAAATTTTTCCTGTCATCTTTAGAATATTTTCTAAATTACAGTTTTAAGAAAAACACAATTTATCCTTGCTTCTTTCAAAACATTTCTTGAATCAGAAAAAAAAAATCTGTTCACCACCTTAACAACCACAAAATAACTTCTATTATTTCATTAATTTTCAAGCTGCATTACAGAACCAAGTTTCCAATAAAGTACTAGTTTATGAGAGATTTTTTTATCCCTATAGTGTTTTAACCTCCATTTAAACAAGCCTTTGTTAATTCAAAAGAAAATAATGAATAAATATATCACTGTAACTAGACATATGAGAGAAAATCATGAAATATTGCTAAACCTTTACACAACTACTTTCTTCTTAAGGACACTGTCTTGTGTAAATGATACAAAAAACTATCAATTTTGAAAGTTTCAATTAAAAATGTAAAAGGATTCAACTCTCTGTTCTCCCAGAAAGTAAGAAACTTGCACATATTATGTTTGTTTTTAATTAAAAAATAAGTCACTTACTTGGTTTTCCTCTCCTGGCTGTAATAACTTTTGGTTCCTTGAAATTGCCAGCATTTCTATAAGTTCCCTAAAAGGAAAAAAAAAAAAAACTTTGCAAATACAATAAACTTTCTAAATGACTTCTACCTGCCTTGATCTTGCTGAGCACTCATGTCCTACAATCCATTTGAGAACGTCAGTGCTCACAGATTCAGTGACTCAGTAAATCTGAGTTGGGTTTATTACCAAAGCTATTTGTCCAAAACATAGCATGCCATATTGCCAGGGTCTTTTTAATAATTCAAGCATTCATTCAATAGCATTAGTTAAAGAGAAAACTGGCAAGCTCTCCATTACAAACTATAAAACCAATAAAGACAAAAAAGGAAACAACTTTGTGTTAATCTGTGTAAACACTCACACTGAGACAACACATTTATACTGCTGTCTGGTAACTATGAGTTTACTGTTCTCTGTATTGACTTATGTAGCTGAAAATGCATGTGCCCTGTTTGTTGTCCAGCAGTACTTCAGTCTAATACAGTCTAACAATTGGACTAAACAAATAACTATTAAACTTCTGGTGTCTGTGTTTTGGGCTTTTTTTTTTTTTTTAATTACACCATTTAATATTGTGCAGACCCAGTGATCTTGTAAATAATGCCTGCTATGGCAAGGACTAAATTTTCAGCAAAGATAAAATGCTGATTTTTAGTAGCTCAGCTAATACAACGTCAAAGAATTACTCTAAAGCTATTTAAGAATGTTGGTTATAGAGAAAATGAGTTTGAACTGGATTCTGAAGGATTAAGGAATGGTTCATCCTGATGGAGGTGGGAAAGGAAGTGAATATGAGAAAGTAGGGATAGCTTTAAATGGGGAGCATTCACAAGGAAGGAAGGCAGGGGATTAGAAAGGGTGTGATTAAGACCAGATGGAGAATATCCCTGTCACACTAAAATAAGGAACTGGAATGTATCTCATTGGCAATTGAGAATCTACCAAATATTTTAAGAAGAAAAATTACTGGAGATGCTTTTAAGAGGATACTCTGCTCTTGGATAATACAGAAGAATAAAGGGCAGAAGCTTTAAATAGAACTGTTGGGAGGCTGCTTTAAAAATCGTTATGAGAGGAGGGAAGGAACAAGAAGTCAATTTTTAGGAGGAAGTACCAATAATATTTTAACATCTGAGTGACTGTGAGGGCGTCTAGGAAGGTTCCAACTTGACAGACTACCATGAAAGATGACAGAATAAGAAGAAACCTAACTGCGTCTCCTACCTCTGCCACAAGCGCAGCACTCCTGTCATTCCAAACTTGCAATTCCACCAAGTCCTGCATGCTCATTTTTCTAGGCCTTTGGACATGCAGTTCCATCTACCTGCTGCCCAGTGGGTCTGATGAACTTATTCTTCCCATGAAATCCGAAATTCCTCCAGGAAGCCCGTCCCCATTACTTGAACAGGCACGTAGCCTGTGGGCTTGGTAGCCCGCAGCGCAAGCCTCTGATAAAAGCAAGCTTGGCGCCAATCACTGCTTACACTTCTGTCTCTCCCTCTTGACACTGTGTTCCTCGGTGGGTCGACTTATAGTCTCCCCCTCCTACAGCGTGAGGGGGACTGCCTGACACCAGGGGCGTCCCTTAAATGTCTGCAGAATCGGTGGACGAGGGCCTTACACCTGGAGAGCTCTGAGATCCGCTATGGCTGACAGCACTGGGACTCTAGGATCACTGTCACTACTAAAATGTCCTCTAAAGGGGGAAAATTCCTCCTCGAAGTCTTCGAGGGTGGCGGACGCCACTTCCTCGACTTTCGCGCACTTTTCTAGGTAGGGCGCAGCGGGGTCTCCCGAGTGCGGCCCTGCCAGGTGAGCCCTGGGAACCAGCGCCTACGCAGGGCCGGTCGGTCCCGCGTCAATCCTCCCGGTCTAGCCCCGGCCAGTCCACTGGGCGTTACCTCGACAAGACCTCCAGATCTTCCAGAGCAGACAGCAGCCGTTCCCGTGTGCTGTTACCGCTCGCCGCTCCCGAGCCGCTTCCCGACCGCTCCTTCTCCTTCTCGCCACTAGAAGACGCCGCCATGCTGCTGCCGGGCGGCAGCGGGAGTATGCGCAGTCGCCCGCGCAGGGAGGCGTGGCGGGCCCCGGAAGCGGAAGGAAAGGTCACCGAGGCGAGGCGAAGCCTGGCAAGAGCGGCCCCGTGTCCCTGGAGAGGCACTGCTGACGCTGGCGCCATCTGCTGGGCTGGTGAGGCTCCAGCCCTGTGAAGGAAAGCGGGCTAGGGGTGGGCTAGGGGTGGGAGTGGATCTGGCGCTCAGCCTCCTGTTTTTCAAGCCAGAGTGGGAGGCGGCTGGTCGTTGCTTTTAAGCATTTGAGGGAATTGTATAATGACCTACCTCTTGTGTCAGTTTCTTCATGAAATGGGCAGGGCATTAACCTCTATTTTATGTTATTACTTTCAAATCAAATTTTATCGACCACTAGATTAAAAAACTATGCTTGTGGGCGTGCAGCTTCATGCCTCAGTGTGGACATGTGCTTCACACCCACCACCAAAGTTCTAGTGACAGCACATTAGCACATTGCTCCCCTCGCCTTTCCCTTCACTTCTGGTAACCACCATATTTTTTGAAGTTCAAGACTCATTTTGTTGCATTTTACCAGTTTGTTTGATTTGGCTATTTATATTCCACATATGAGTGAAACCATACAGTAATTGTCTTTCACTTTCTGACTTATTTTACTCGCCTCGAGTTTCATCCATATTGATACAAAAGCCAAGATTTCATCTTATTTAATGCATATTGTATTACATTGAGTGTATATACCACATCCTCGTTATCCAGTCACCTATAGATATAGGACTTTAGGTTGATTCCAAGTCTTGGCTATTGTGAACACTGCTGCTATGAACATAGGGGTGCATATATTTTTTCTGAGTTAGTTTTATCATATTCTTTGATTAAATACCTAGGTATGGCATTTTGCTGGATCATATGGTATTTCCATTGTTTGATTTTTAGAGAATCTCCATATCATTTTCCATTAAGACTGCACCAATTTAAATTCCTCCCAACAATGAATGATAAGTATTAACCCTCTTTAGTCTGCATTCCATAAATACTATTCCATCACCCTCTATGGCTTCTCATGGAGACTGTAAGCACCTTAGACCAGGAACCCTAGTCCAACTTTTCCTTTTCTTTAAATTTTCTTATAATACACATAACATAAAATTTACTGTCTTAATCCTTTTTAAGCATACAGTGCAGCAGCATTAAATACATTCATGTTGTGCTATGTTAACTGAGAAACTGAAGTCTGGTCAACTCACAGCTTGCATATTGGAGCAAATGTGTTATAGCGTTTGTTCGTGGCTTCAGAGCTGCTGTGGGAAAGACCCACAAACACTTGAGTGGTGTCTTCAAATAGTCCAGTGAGGGTGGGGATAGCCCCAACTCAGGTCTGCTTTATGCATATGAGGTTTTCAGTCAGTGATTGATGGAAAGTTTGGCAAGAGTGATTAATCAATGCTGGATGTTTTTTGACTTGCCTACAGTTTCATTTCTTCTCTGCAGTAGATACATTTTAGCTTGTCTGAAAATGCAGGTGCATCAGGAGGCATCTGGGACTGAATGTTCATCTGCCTCCTGACTGGATTTTACTCAGACATGAAATAGTTCCATGTTTGTTTGTTTGTTTTTATATATTATTTATCTACTAGCACCACTATCCTTCCCTAGAAGTCTGGCAAAACTGAAACTCTGTACCCATTTACCTCTCCTCCAATCACATGGCAACCACCATTATACTTTGTCTCTATAACTGACTACTCCAAATACCTCATATATATGGAGTCACACAGGATTTGTCTTTTTGTGTGTGACATTTCATCTAGCTTAATGTCTTCAAAGTTTGTCATGTTTTAACATGTGTCACAGTGTCTTCCTTTTTAAAGCTATATAATACTCCATTGTATGTGAATACCACATTTTGCTTATCCATTTATCTTTTGATGAATACTTGGGTTGCTTCCACATTTTCATAACAGATTATTATAATCACAGAACTCCCCAAAAATGTATTGCTCAATATTCAAGATGATGGCTGAACTGAATAAATCAATTTAGTATATAAGTGGTGATTAATGAAACAGTTTAAATAATTGATGTAGCACACATCCAAATCAAGAACAGGGTTTTGAAGTAAAAAAAAAAAAAATGTACCTTAGCCTATTTTTTCCAAGGTCACAGCAATATTGGGAATGGGGGTTCTGAATCAGTTGAGGTGGATTATAAAAGATGAGACACAGAGATGTTACAAACAACAGCTGATGGTAAGGCAGGAATACCTGTGGTCCACTTATTCTAGAGTTCTTTCCTCTTGTCAGCCCTTCTGATGGGCACCCAGAGTTGAAAATACCCTCAGGGACTTATGCTAATTAAATTCATTCATAGCAACAGCTGCATAACCCAGGATGCAGATTAATTCATCCACAATAGTGTCAAGTACAAGTTTCCTCATGGAATTATTACTGGAACCCAGCCCCTTCAGCAGTCGGAGCCAGCTGTAGCAGTGGTAGTCTTTCACCCTGCTGCTCCACCACAAGTCAACTGTGGCATTTGCTCCTTAGAGATCTTTTATGTAACAGTGTACTTCCTGGATCATGGAATGGACCAATGAGGTGCAAGCTATGAGCTGATTGGTGCTAAATGGCCCAATCAGCAACAAGATTGAAAAATGGTCCAATCAGATTTGTGAATGGAGCACCCTGAAAGAGGATGTAAGCCAGGGTCACGGGGAGCTGAGGATTGGAGAGGTGATGCCAGCCCCCGAACTGGAGAGCCCACTCCAGCTTCAATAGGAAGAAAGAAGACAGTTCCAGCCTCCGAAGGAAGAAGGAGAAGACTCCATTCCTGGCCTCTAGAGAAAGAAGAAAGAAGCATCCAACAGCCAACCTCTGAGGAGGGAAGAGAAGCCAAAGACTTCTTTCAGAGACTGTGTCTCCAGTCCTGTCTCTGGCATCGCCTGAAGGGAACACTAAAGACCCTGGGCCTGATGTCTCAAAGAGCTGTATAGCCCAACTAACTCACAAAGAGCTGTTAGCACTGGATATCTCTGACACCACCTCTGAGGGACCAGTAGTGACCATCACTACTGGCCAGTGCTGTCCAGCTCTCTTGGCAATTGGTGGTGACCATCACTTATGCTATCTGGATGAGATAGCCGGCCCACTTCTGGATGCAGTAAGCTCTTTGTTTCCCCTGCTTGTAAAATAAAGCCATGGCTGTTGTTCCTGGAGCCTGAGGTCTCTTGCAATTGTGTGCACGGGTGAGAACCCACAGGCAGTGACCTGTCCACTTGTCAGGCACTGTCTTTTGCATGACTATAGCCCATAGGCCCCTATTGGGTGAATATTATATTACTATAGCCTTTGGCTTTGGTGTTTGGCCTTTTAGCCTTTTGGGGCTTTTTGGCAGCTCCCTTGTCTCAGAGCACAGGCAGGTGGGTGGCCATTCCATCCTTCCATCGGGTTTCCTGCCCTGCCCACCCCTGTTTCAGAATAACCTACACAGGAATTAAGTTATCACCAGAATGTCACTTGTTAACTTAAATCAGAACAAATGAAGTTAAATATAAATAAAAAATTAATTAACCATGAGGGTGTAACCATCAGGATTTGTATCTCCATGGCATGGCAAGGGTGGGTTTGGAATATTTATGTTCATAGGTTGTGTTTCTGGTCAGTGCAAGAAACTCATAGACACCTTGTATTTTCCAATTTCCCACTTCTGCTCTTGGCTAATCCTTTCTGTTAATACATTTAATTCGGAGGCAATGGAATAATTAAATTTAGCTTTCTTAATTACAATCACATTCTGAACATGCCTCCCAGTAGTTCTAGTTAATAATTTCTTACGTTATTTTTTCAAGGGGCTAAACTCCTACAGTCTGTGTGGGTTTTGTTTACTGAACTCTCACAGGTTCATCTTGGGCCATGATTCTGGTGGGGGAAATAGAAGATCATATCAGTGTAGCTTCTACATTAAAATTCCGGTAGGATTCTAATTAGTTAAAAATGACCAATTAAGGTCTGTTTTATAGACAGTGAGGATCAATGTATGGTAAGTATATGTGTGTTGTGAACTCCAGACTACCTCAGATTTATTGCAAATTCACTTACACTTTGAACATTGTCTGTAGACTGAAAAATAATAGTACTTCATATAAATATATTCTTTTGCACACTTCAGATCCAGCTGTGATAAAATATGAATTATTCCATAATATATTATAATGAAATATTAATATTATATATTTTTATAGTCATAGTAACTGAATTCAACATTGAGGGTAAAGTATTTTTTCAGTTTGCAAATTAAAAAAGGATAAGAAGTAGCTCCTTATGAAATTTTATGTATTCAACATGCCAGACACTGTTTTAAACATTTTTTTTTGCATAGAACTGGGGTATACACCAGAGATGTGGAGGGTGAGAAGATTCACCTGAGACAGAGTGGGGAGCAGAAAAGGCATATCTACTGAAATACACCGCTAAGTGGAGCAGTGGTGTGACAGGCCAGGGATCAAACTCAAGCCATAGCAGTGATAATATTGAGACTTAATCCCTAGACCACTAGGGAGGATCCTAAACATTTTTTTTTTAATTCATTTAAATTTCACAGCACTCCCAGAGGTAAAGACTGTCTCGGCCTTATGTTACAGATAATGGAGTTGGGAATCAGAGGAAGGAGAATAAATAGGCTCAGGTCATAAAGTTAGTATTAGCAAGGTTGGGAAATGGACCCATAATCTAACTCCAGCGTCCACACTTTCAACTACACTGGCTATCCTGTTTCTCTGTTACAAAAAAGGGTGTTTTCATGTACTGAAAAAGAGTTGGAACCCTCTGTTCTAAAATATAAGTTAAATACTGTAAAATTCACAGTGTGGAATTCTTAGTGAAACCCAACTATAATCGTTTGGCATGGCTGTTTTAAACTGTGAAATGTTCATCAAGAAGAACTCTGTCCTCCTCATTCCAATAAAACATAACTCCCACTATCTTAAATTGCTCAATGTTAATTGAAGTCATTAGCCCTGTGGACAGGGTAACATTTGTCTTTAACTCCCTACATTCTTGTCATTGAGAATAAAAAACAGTTTAGATTAAACATATTATTCTCTTTAAATATTTGAGGTATGGTTTCATTGGAAAGGTTTCCTAGAATTTATCAAAATTTCTAAAAATAAATCTCATCTCCCTGAAATTCTCCCATCATCATTAAAATCTTTCCACTTTTAAAAAACTCAAGAGTGGGCATAATTATTGGCCTTCTTTGATAGATTTGTTTATTCTTTCAACAATTATTTGTTTATATGCCAGGGACAACTAAATACTAGGCTTAGTGGGTGAACAAGGCAATAGTAGTCAGAGAAGACTTTCTGGAGGAGTTAAAAGAAGATGATCCTAAGATTGTAGGATTATAACAATTAGCTGGCCAAGTGTTGAAGGTGGGGCAGAAGATTAGCAGGGATAGAGAAAACAGAAAGAAAACTAATAAAATATCTCACTTGTGGGTTTCCCTGGTGGCACAGGGGTTAAAATCTCACAGCTATCAAGCTATTGCCAACTACTGCAGCATGAGTTTGATCCCCAGCCAGGGAGTTGACCCACATGACACAGCAGATCTCTCCTATCTTACCCACTGCTCCCCTCAGCAATGTATTTCAGTCAATCTGCCTTTCTTCTCCCCGCTCTGTCTCTGGTGAAACTTCTCACCCCCTGACACCTCTGGCCTACACCCCAGTACTTATATTCATAAATAAATTTTAAAAATCTTTTAAAAAATATCTCACCAGCTTCTTAATTCAGTATGTGTAATGGATTGAATGGTGAACTTTGCAAAAGATATGTCTACATCCCACAGTGTGACTTTATTCGGAGAAAGAGTCTTTGGAGAATTAAATTAATGATCTTGACATTAGATGACCCTGAATTATTCAAGTGGGTTCTAAATCTAAAGATAAGTGTCCTTATATGAGACACAAAGAAAAGGCCATGTCAACACAGAGGCAGAGATTAGAGTTATACAGCCACAGCCAAGGAATGCCTGCAGTCACCAGAAACGGGGAGAGGCAAGGAAGGATACTTCCCTAGGGCTTTCAAGAGAGCACAGCTCTGCCAATAACTTTTTGGACTCGATTTTGAACTTCTGGCCTCCTGAACTGTGAGAGAATAAATATCTGTTGTTTTTAGCTACCCAGGTTTTGCCAACTTATTACAGAGGCCCTAGGAAATGAATACAAGATGGAAGAATTCCAGTTTAAATGAGAATTTCTAAATTAGAGTCTGAGGAAATACAGTTCATTTCTTCTCATGGATAAAACTAATTGCTAAATATTTCTTGGATGCCTGAAGATTAATAAAGTAAATACATTTATTTCAGGAGCATCAATTTGCACATCATGAACAAAAACATTTTTTTATGCTCATAAGTAGAAGCCCAGGCTCTAAAATAAGAGTTGAAAGAGATCACAGAGATCATTTGGCCTAGCCTGTCCCCAGCCTGTGATGAAACCCTTTTTGGTAGCGTGTAGCTGGCCACCTTCCATGTCCATCACTTACATTAAGCTCAAATATGCCTTAGGATAATTTTCACACAGTGATGCCAACCACTACCTTCTGAAGTCTAGGAAAAAGACATTTTATCTATCTTTTACGAACAGACTAGCCAGTTTTTCTTTAGCTGTGATTTGTGAAAGGTTTTTTTTTTTTTATTTAAGAGTAATTTTTTTTTTTTTTATTCTTTGCATAGAAGAAATAGGGTTGGGCCTTCTTTCTGGTGGCGCAAGGGATTGAGACATAATCTATGAAACTCTCTGTAGTCACTGCAGCACGAGTTTGATCCCTGGGCAGAGAGCTACCCACATGGTGCAGCAGACCTCTTCTGACTTGCCCACTGCTCCCCTCAGCAGTGTACTTCAGTCAATCTGCCTGTTCTGTTGCCCACTCTGTCTCTGATGAATCCTCTCACCCCCCGCACCTCTGGCCTGTACCCTAGTTCTTGTATGCATAAATAAACAAATCTTTAAAAAAGAAGAAATAGGGTGTAGGTCAGAGGTATAATGGTGAGAGGAATCATCAGAGACAGAGTATGGAGCAGAACAGGCAAATCCACTGAAATACACTGCTGAAGGGAGCAGTGGTAGAGAGAGAGGTTCCCTGGGAGGGGATGGAACTAAGGCCATAGCGGTGATAGTGCTGAGAATTATTTTTAAAAAAAATAAAGAAATATATGTGGATTTTTAAAAAGTTCTAGAAAATATAAAGAAAATAAAATTACCCATTATGCCACCCTTGAGACACACATTGTTAACATTTTACTGTATTTCCTACATAACTATTTTAGCTTCCATACTAACTATCCCTTGTTCTTTAGTAGCACCTCACTTAAAAGGGCTTCTAGATTTTTCATCACCCTGAGCAGTGTCTCTTTCATACATTGCAGTTGGTCTTTCATAAAATGTGTGAATTTAAAGTGATGAAGATGCTCCAAGTACAGTTTCTTTTTTTTTTTTTTTAAAGATTTGTTTATTTATACATACAAGAACTGGGGTATAGACCAGAGGTGGTGGGGGGGGGAGGTGAAAGCATTCACCAGAGACAGAGTGGGGAACAGAACAGGCAGATTGACTGAAAGAGGACTTTTCTTATTGTTATGCTCTTAAGAATTCCAGTGCTAAGGTTAAAAGATGAGAATCTTCATAATATGATAGATCAGATTCAAGTGTAGATTCCATTGATTTGTGGTCTCTGTATTTCAGGCTATCCATTGCAAAAGAGGAATAATCATGCCCCTTTGAAATTTTGTTGGAAAGAATTAAGGAAGGTGTATAAAGCGTTTGTTATATGACAGAGAAAAAATATAATAAACTATGATAGGTAATGTTTATTGAGTCAGGTTCTGTTTCATTCTCTATCAGTACAATTAGCATCTTTGTTTACAGACAAGGACTCTGAGGCCCAGGAAGGTTAATCTAATCCAGTTGACACATTCTGGAAGGTAGCAGTGCCTAGGCAGTCGGAATTCAGAGCCTGTGTTCTTCACCTCTATACCATGTTGTATAGCAAGTAATGTAACTGTTCTACTTCTCAACATCCTAGTGTTAACAGTAACTATTTTGAAAGTCTGTAACTGACTCATTTTAAGTTTGTTATTTATTAATAAAATTCTTAACTGAAAGCCACATATGTAATAGAATACATAAACAAATACTAGTACAGTCATATAATGGAATGCTATCAAGAAATGAGATATCAAGTCGTGCATAGACATGGAAGACTCTTAAGTGAATAAAGTTAAGTAAAGCAGGGTCTCCCTGGTGGCGCAGGCAGTTGAGTGCAGCACTGTGAGACTGGTTGAGGCGCAGTTGGAGTGCAGCACTGTGAGACTGGTGCCGGTTCAATTCCCGGCCAGCCGTGGAGATGCCCAGATGGCGTGGAAGATTTCTGTCTTGCCCGCTGCTCCTCTCAGCAGTGTGTTTTGGTCGGTTTGCCTGATCTGCTCCCTGCTGTGTCTCTGGTGATGCCTCTCACCCTCCCTCACATCTGGCCTATACCCTGGTTCTTGTATAAAAAAATAAAAATAAAAAGTTAAGTAAAGCAAAACAGTCTATGTAATTACATTTTGAAAAAGGCAAAACTATCGAGGTGGTAAACAGATGAGTGGTTGTCAGAGGGTCAGGAGGTGGGGTGAACAGATGAAGCACAGAGGACTTTTTAGGGTGGTAAAACTCTTTTGTATGATATTATAATGAGGGATATATAGCACTAAAATCCATAAAGTTTTATAGCACAAAGAGGGAACCTGAATATATGCAAATGAAAAAATTATTTAGGCGGTTAGGTGATCCCAGAATGGAGTGCAGAATTTGGCAAAAGAATCTTACTATATTATAATTGTGTGAAGCAACCTCATTGAAGGGGGTGAATGTAAAAGGTGCTGATCTGAGTAAGAATTCATTTGTAAGACTAAAGGCAAAATAAAATGGTATACACACACTGCACTCTAGTTGAAAAAGTCATTTCTCAAGGGAGTACAAGTTAACAATTCTGAAACCACTATACATATATACAGGAATTGAACAATTCAGTAAAGAGATGGCAGATGTGGGAGCCAGGTTTCTCACTGTTGAAGTGGAAGGTTTCAGGTTAATAAGGCATGAAAGATAGAATGATTCATGTGGTACTGAATTAGCGATGGACACATCAGCATGAACACATGTTTGCTTAATAGGGACACATGTTTACAAGTAGAAATATTTGTGTGTATATACACACATATATTTTCCTGATCTTGTCTATTTTCTTAAGAGGACCTAGAAGTGATGACCCTTGCCCTCTGATAACAATAAGCACACCTAGGGTCAGGATTTTGGTTCTTGGTTTCTAATACCATTCTTCATTTAAAAGAACTCCATTTAAAGGGTTTCCTTGAAGAAAAGGCTGATTCTGTTGTAATACTTGTATTCTGTAGTACAGAAAATATACATGATGAATATCTTGTAGTTCTAGAAAGAAAGTGCATCAAAAAGAAAGAAAAGAAAATTTATGATGAAGAAGTTAAAAGGTCATAGGAATCAACTGAGAGTTCCCAACGGTGAAAACTGGAACAATTTGAATAAAAATGAATAACATAGTATTGAATTATAACCTAAATAAATATCCAGAAGTCTACACTGATGTAAATAAATGATTGGACAAATGAATAAATTGAGAATAGGCAAATCTCTAGTGTAGAATTCTAAGTAATGTAGGTACTCCACCACAAGGAGGTGATGTGTATCTTCCCACCTTTTGATTGTAGGCTGCTCATAGTAACTTCCAATAAGTACAGTATATAAAGAGTGGTGTAGGCAGGGGAAACTTACAGTGAAAAGAACTACCTCAGACAGGTGATCAAGGTCAATATTATTAGTGATAAGGCATGCTGATAGCAAGTACCTTTGATGGAATGTCTGTGATTTTCCTCCAAACCCATACCTTATCAGACAAATTCCAGTTAAGGAATACTCTACAACACAGCTAACTGATCAAAAATGCCAAGGTCATCAAAAATAAGGAAAGACTGAGAAACGTTCACAGTCAAGAGACACCTTAGGAGATATGGCAACTAAACATAAGGTAGAATCTTGCATGGATCTTGGAATAGGCAAAGAACATTAGATAAAAACTAAGAAAATCTTATTCTTTCTGGCTTATTTTGCTGAGCATGATCCCTTCCAGCTCCATCCATGTTGCTACAAATTGCATGAGTTTATCTTTTTTGATTGCTGAGTAGTATTCCATTGTGTATATATACCACATCTTCTTGATCCAGCCATCTATTTTTGGGCATTTGGGTTGTTCCCACAGATTAGCTACTGTAAATGGTGTTGCAGTAAACGTATGTGTGCAGGTGCCCTTTTGAATTCATGTTTCTGTGTCCTTTGGGTAAATACCTAGGAGTGGAATTGCTGGATCATATGGAAGCTCCATCTTTAGCAGGTTGAGGAATCTCCACACAGCTCTCCATAAATACCGGATGGTCTCACTCATAGCAGGAATTTAGAAAACCTAAATAAGGGACCAGGAAAAAGATTAATTATGATAAAGTAAAAATCAAAATCAACAAACAACTATAAACCAGAGACGCACTACGGGGGAGATGGGGAGGAGGGATTAGTGTCAAAATAAGGGAGGTGGGAATTGTATGGGGAATATCACCAAGATGAAAATGCATACATTGTGCAAAAACGAAAAATGATGTAAAAATTATATAAAATAAAAATAAAATTAAAAAAACGAAGAAAATCTGAATAATGAAACTAGTGTGGGTATGTGTAACTTCTCTCTACTGTGATCACCATTTTTTCTGTTATTCTAAAACAATTTTAAAGTAAAATTTTATTTTCATAATTCTTGATTTTTTTTTCCAAATGAATGACCGCTAATTAATGTCTAAGTTTCAACAATGTTCACCATATTGTAACTTAGGTAATTATTGCTTAGACCAGAACCAAGTATGATATTATGTTTCCTATATAGTTCTAAGATTTTCCTGTGGCTTCCATTTCATTTTCTTCTTGTAATCTTTTACTATAATTCTCTATATGTTTTTCCAAAAGTTCCATCATATCAGGCAGTTTTTCATACCCCTATTTTTCTGGAAAGCTTGCCTCACAGAGTCCTCCTGGAACTAATGAAGGTCATCTTGTGAGAAAATAATTTAATGTGGCTCAGGTATTTGTCCTTCTGGAGGTCTAACCTGACTTAAGCATAGTATTTAAGGAAGTTGGAAGAATGAATGAATTCACACACACTATAAATGTCCTTTCCTGCTTTTCCTAGTTAATGTTTGTTGGGTGAAGTTGATATAATTACTTTCTAAAGGAGAGGAATTTACTTTCCAAAGTAAAGTTACGTGGTATTTCATTTAGCCCTGGCAGACTTGATGCCTTCAAGAAACTTCTGGGATGCAGCAGCCATCCACCAATAAATCAGTGTTGCTGGAGTATGGCCAATTAACCAAGTATAAGTAAATTTACCTAATTATACCACCACCCAGTCTACATTTCTTCTTTTGATGCACAATGAATTCAGGAAAGGCTCTGTCAAATTCATGAACTTCATATACAAAATTTTTTATTCCTTTCCATCTAATATTCCTAAACAGCAACAAAAATGCTCGGAGGACAGAGGAACAATTTTTTTTTTGCACAGTATAATACCCATTTTGCACAGAATAATATTTTAAATTTGCCCTCATGAGTATCATTCACCTCTCTTTAATTTCATATAACTACTACATACCACATAGTAAATGTCCAGTATTTTCACTGAAATTGGTTGATATATATACCATCTTAATATGAAGTTCAGTTTTACATTCATTTTAACTTTTGCTTTCTTCCAGATAAAAATATTTGTTTTGGCTATATCATGGGAGATTTCCCAGAAAAAGTTTCCGTTTTGGCTATTAGCAAATTAGTTTGCTTCCTGTCTCTAACTCTGTGGAGACAATTATGAAAAGATTAACTATAATCTACAAGCTGCTGGTTTGTTTTTCATTTCCTTGCATTTCAAATCTGGTTCATTTGTGTATGCTAGTCACTTACATGATAGACAAATGCTTGATAAATGTTTACTGATTTGATTTCATTTAGAAAAACACCTTATAAGCAGAACACTATGCAGTTTAATTTGCAAAATTGGCATTACCTTACCTTGTCTCTGAATGTTTATCAAAATACAGAAAGTACTGCATGACCTTGGGTGCAAATGAGTCACTATATCCCCCAAAGGCACAGAGATAAACATCAAACATTGAAGTGCCAGGAAATGAAGAATTGGATCTACCTCAAAACCACCAAGTTCCCAACCCTTTTAATCTTGAAATAACTGCATCATCATTATTACCCAATTTTCCATATACTTTCACATACATCCTAACTTATGTTATCTACCTGCAACCTTGGCCAGAATGTTTTTACTGTTAAAGGCATTAGTTTACTGCTAAAGTTTCAGTAAAAGCAATGAGGTTGCAGGAGGTTTCTGGCACTTGTCAGGGCCTAATAGTAGCTTCTTTGTCTGTTCAGATTCTCCAAAGTTTCTCCAAACTCCTTGCCTCTTCTTGGATAGCTTGTTGCTCTTCGACATGCTGGGTTTCAGCCAGGTCTGGTCCTCAAATCTCCCCACAAGCTATTCCCTTTGGGCAGCCCCAGGCCAGCAAGGAGCATAGTGACTCCTTATCCTCGGCAGTTAGGTTTCCAGAAAGTTGCCTGTCTGTTTTGTAAATCTAACACACTGATATAGAATTTCTAATTACAGACACCAAATTCTCTCTCCTAGGAGATCTGAAACTGCAAACTCCACTCTTTGTTAAGACCTTTTGTTTTCATTAGAAAGTCCTTGCCAATGTTGGCCACATTTCACTCATTTGATCCTTCTTTTTTTTTAATCTTTTCTCAACCAGACAAATGCATAATGCTTCATTTGCTAGATGGCCAGGCAATCCATTTTCAAGTTCTACTTGGACATAATGCTCCTGCCTGGCCAACATGCCATGTAAAGTGCCCCAAAGGTATTTCTCAGGTTCTGGCAGGACTACTTCAATGTTCCTCAACAAAGTCCTTACCATTGCAAAGGAGATTTAGTTTAGCAATGTCAGTGTTTCTTCTCTGAGTCTTAGACACCAGACTTGCACAGTGTTTAATGATGAATTTATTCTTTAATTTTTTTAAGATTTATTTTTATTTATGCATACAAGAACTGTGGCCTAGGCCAGAGGGGTGTGTGGGGGTGTGTGTGTGAAAGGATTCACCAGATACAAGAGTGGGGAGCAGGACAGGCAGATCTACTGAAATGCACTGCTGAGGGGAGCAGCGGGTGAGACAGGAGAGGTGTGCTGTGCCTTGTGGATTAGGTCCTTGGCTGGGGATTGAACTCATGGATGGCAATAGCTTGATAGCATTGAGACTTTAACCCCCGTGCCACCAGGGAGGCCCCCTAATGCTGTATTTAGATGTTAAGTCGTGGAATTATGAAACACAAACATCTTTTGGCAAATGACCTTTCTAACAGATGTATATTTAAATCTTCTTGCAACATTGTTTCTTTGGCTTGTTTATATATTAAGGTATTAGTCAGTAAATGCTACATTTCTAGCACAAATGGAGACATTGGCCTATAATTGTGCATCAATGCGGAGAGGTGGAGAGAAATTCAGGGATTATAAAATCAAATTAATACTCTTTTTCTTATCCTGAGTAAAATTGATATACACATAGTTTCTATTTGGCATGTACCCCAGAAACTTGGGTAGGTGCAGAGTGACCCCCAGATAATAGAGAAAAGGACTACTGAGGCCTGGCTCTGACCTGGGCTCTCAATAGAGAGGGTCCTGGCCTGGGAAAAGGCAGGGATAAGGGATCCTGGAGGAAGCTGCAGAGGAAAGCAGACAACACAGAGGCTTCTGTCTGGGGTCCTTGCTGTCCTTTGGAATTTCTGTTTTGCGTTCTCTGAGGAAGAAATACTATAATAGTAAAAAACTGAGGCAGATTCAGATAGAAAAAAAAATCTTCTGCCAATTCTGGGCACAAAACTTTCTATTCATTCATTCATTTGTTTGCTCATTGTTTATTCATCATATTTCTTGAGCAATTATGATCCTAAGTGCTGTACTAAGTTGACACAGCACAGGATGAGTCAAACAAGTTCCAACTACAGTTTAATTTCCAATAGGAGAGGTAAAGAGTTAACAAGTAAATATTCACATGATTTCCAGTTTATGATAAATCCTATGTGAGGGTGGAGGTCATTTTACTAGGGTGGCCAGAGAAGGCCTTTCTGAGAAGGGTAATATTTTAGCTAAGAAGCAAGGGGTGAGAAGGAGGACCTTAGTGTATGAGGATCTAGGGAAGAGACTTCCTGACAGAAGGAACAGGTAAGTGCAGAGACTCTGAGATGGGAATGACCTCAGGCGTCTTTGAAGAATTGAAGAGGCTGGAGCAGAATGAGTGAGAGAGAGTGGAGGGATGAGTTGAGTGTCAGAGGCCCCACCATTTGAGATGGTTCAGGGCATGGCAAGGAGTTGATATTTTCATTTTGTTACAAGAGAAGTGGAGGGGGCAATCAGTAACTTGAATTGCATTGCGCTTCATGAAATACCTACCGCCTGGGAAAACCATTTAATATTCAGGGTCATAAAAAGAGATCAGATTGTGGATACTGTGCTAAACATTCAGATTATGTTACCTCTCATAACCACAACCCTGAACTTCTTTTCTGACAGACCCATTTGGAATTTATCAATTAGAATCAACTCAAAGGTCATGAACTTCACCAACCCTCAATATCTAATGGCACCAGTCACCTATGGTGGGACCTTCATTCATTTATAAAATATTTATGAAGTACTTGTTACTTACTAGGGATATTGTAGTGAGCAAGATGAAAAGATGCCTTGACGTCATGGAACTTATACTCTACCTAGAAAGAGTGACAATTAAAAAGACAAAGCACAAATTGTTTTGATATGATAGGGAAAGTATTTGCAGGAGACTATAAAGCAGTATGATCAAATAACCTAGATAAGGAAGACCTTCTGAAGGAAGTGATGTTTAAGCTGAGAAGGAATACTAAAGAAGAAGGCCAGATGTACAGAAAGAGTTTTTCAACTGGAAGGAAAAGCATATCACCAGAGATAAGAGAGAACAGAGCATATTTTAGGAAAGTTAAATCATTTCATTATAATGGGAGGCAGAGTACAAGGTTGAGAAGAGAGAAATGAGGCAAGAGATACTAGGAACGAGATCCTGAGGCTAGATAGTGAAAAGTCCTGTAAGGGGGGGCCTCCCTGGTGGCGCAGGGGTTAAAGACACAGTGCTATCAAGCTATTGCCAGCCAGTGAAGCTTGAGTTCAATCCAGGCCAGGAAGATGACCCATATGACACAGCAGCTCTCTCCTGCCTTACCTGCTGCTCTCCTCAGCAGTGTATTTCAGTCGATCTGCCTATTTTGCTCCCCACTCTGTCTCTGGTGAATCCTCTCATCCCCCAACACCTCTGGCCTACACCCCAGTTCTTGTAGTCATAAATAAATAAATCTTTAAAAAAAGAAGGAATTCAGCTGGGTCTTTAAAAAAAAAGTCCTATAAGGGTAAAAGTTCTGCACTTTATCATGAGGGTAATAGGAAATCTCTGAAGGGTATGGAAAGGTATTGGGAGTGGAGGATGATGTTGATAGGGTGTCATTTTATTAATTCAGATGAAAGATGATAGTGATTTGACCAAAAGAGTAAACATGAAGATGAAGCAAATTGGACTAGAGCACGCTCTCTCTCTCTCTCTCTCTCTCTCTCTCTCTCTCTCTCTCTCTCTCTCTCTCATTTTTTCTCCCTTATTCCATCACTCACTCTTTCTCTTCTCTGTCTCTCTGTCTCTCTGGAAATTAAATAAAAAATATACAGAGAACGAAATTGGTGCAGAGAGAAGATGTAGAGTCTATGATAGGTTGTGTGAACCAAACTTATAAAGGAGCAAAACCCAAGAATATGTAGATACTGAGGAAGAGGAAAGATACACAAATAAAACAGAGAATGATAAGGATAGTAGAAAGAAAGGAAGAGCCGGTGTAGCCCATGAAGAGGGAGGGGAGCAAGTGGCAGTGCCTAGCCCTAGCCCAGTTCCCAGCAAACTTCTAGGCTCAGTTCCCACATGCTTCAGTGTTATCATGTATTCTGTTCATGAATTCCCATGACCCCATCTCCATCATTACTCCACATAAAGGAGTCTCTCCCCCTCCACACACAACTAGTTTGAGTTTTATTTCTTGCAACTTATAAAACTTGAACAAAACAGTAATTATGTAATACAAAAAATTCTCCAAGGAGCTAATTAATTAAACCAATGTGAATTAATGTAGTTTATAATGAAAAATATAACTTCTGAGAGATCATAGATGTCCACCTCAAGATGGTTAAACCAACTATAATCAAAAAGTACCTGGAGAGTGGAGATACAGAACAAAGGGTAAAGAATAACTGTGATGTCTAATGGACTCACCTCTCTCCAATTCCTTCTTCAGGAAGTGGTTCTGAATCATAAGAAACCACTTGTGAGGCAAGAGCACACAACCCTGGAGGTGGTTACCTAAGGAAACATGAGCCAAAGAAGCAGAGAAAGAAACTGACTCTTGGGAAAGAAGCAACCTGGTACATTCTGGAGAAATCAGATCAAACAGCAAAGGGGGAGTGAAGGGTGACTGGAAATCCAAGGTGATCAATAATGTTGGACATCAGGAGGAGGGGGTAGAATGGATAAGGCTCAAAGAGGGGTGACAGTTGGAAGTTCAGTTTAGTTGGGTACAACATAAATTAAGCAACCTACCACATTTTGGGCCTTATGTAGGGGATAAAAGATAATGATCTGCTTCAAAGCACAACCAAACATGTGCAAGACTCATACTTACATACTTAATTGTTAATAGAGTAGAAGCTTGTTATGGAGTGCTGATCAAAGAGGAAGAATTGGGACACAAGTCAAAAACTTACACTGTAATACACTCTTTTTTTCTTTTGCTAAGATGCACACAGAGTCCTTGCTGAACTCCTGAAGATTGATTGATTGATTGATGGATGGATGGATTTTTATGGAACATAGTTTGAAACAATTTGAAAACCGTTTCATTACTGAACCAAAAATAAGCTGTATGTCCTAAACTGATAATAGTAGGGACAAGTATTTCACATCTGGCCCACTCATACTAGAATAACCAAAGGCAACATTTAAAGTTGGTCCCACTGAGGACACTCCTAAAATTTGGTGCCTAAACAAATAGGTAAAATCCTGATCCTATTTGAAGCATACATGAATTGACATTGCCAAAGAAATCAGTGAAGAGGAGACACTGTTTTAGAGGAAATGAAATCTGTTGCTTTTGAGGCTATTATGAATAAGTACAGAAGTTTTTAAAATATACAATAGAACATTAGTGAGGTAGTAAATAAAAAAAGTAAATGCTGTGAATTTCATAGAAAATGGTAAATAATGGGGTTCTAACAAAGGACATAAAAGGATAGAGTAATGAGCAAGTTAGAAAGTAAAGATTAAGATTAACAACTACCTCAAATTTACCCAGAGCCATACAAAAACTGACCAGTGTTATTATTGAGTTAAGTATGTCATTTAAAACTGTAATATAAACTGTATCTCTATTTATGTTTTTCTTTAAAGGGCTTAAAAGATAGTCATTCAAGGATGATGAGAGCTCAAATCTGAGAATCACTGGCCTTTAATCCTTGTGGTTTTAAAATATTACCTCTGATGATAATGTGTAGAGGGAAAGCCCTGGGAAAAGACATGTGAGGCTTTTGAGAATTTTTTGTCTTCCATCTATCCTCTCTTTTGGTCTCCTTTTCTCTCCAGTCTTTACCCTTCATCTCTTCCACATAGCAAGTGGTTGGGAGTTGAGTTTCATGTATTTGATTGATTACATATGCCTGCAAGCAAAAACATGATGATCAGATGATAATCTAAAACAGAAACTAATTAAGAAAGTCAAGAATAAATGAATAGCTTGTTATTTCCAAATAAACACTAGTAAAATTAATCTTTTGTATACTTAATAACAGATTCTATATTATTATGCTGATAGGCAGGCATAATTGGTAAACAATCAATATGTAACTTCTATTATTTTTGATTATGCAATTATACTTTTGCAGCTTAGAACTTTCATTTTGATGCACACAGCGTCATCATGACCAACTTGGGTTTGAATAAGGAGAACCTAGGTCAGAAGTAGCTGAGAGAGCAGAACATATGAAAACAGATCCTGCACTCCTGGCTTCTGGAGGTCTTGGTTTAGAATGAGAGAAAGATGAGACACTAGAGTAAAGGGAAAATTGTTCATACCAAGGCAGAAAGGTTAAGATAGGAATTAAAAGGGATTATTTTTAATTTTATTTTATTTTAATTTTTTTATGTTTTATATATTTTTTACATCATTTTTCATTTTTGCACAATGTATGCATTTTCTTCTTGGTTATAGTCCCCGTACAATTCCCACCAGTTTCTGCTTGGGTAGGTAGACCTGTTCTTTGACAAAAGAGAAATCCTGAAAACCCTTAAATGTGTTCCTTAGATATTTTCAAGAGTAAGTAAAAAATTTTCCTAATTTCATCTGTCACCTTCTCTCACTACCTCAAAACAATTATGGCACCCCAAATTTTTTTTAACAGGTAGTAAAACTCTCATTCCACAGTTAGAGGCAAAGCTTGATAAGCAAACTAGCTAGCAGAAGTAATATGAAACTCTTTCTCACTAAAATGTTATTGGCTGATATTGGACCCTTTGCCATTTTGATAGGAAAAAGTAAGAACAGGAGGGCTCTGGCATGAGAATTGTTTCCAAAGAAGGAAAGGAAGCATACTAAATGGTAACAAGAGAAACAATTAACATATATTGAAAACTTATGAGTCACATTCTGTTCTAGGACTTTCTAGGACCTTCACACGAATGAACTCATTGAATTTCCATAGAACCATGAATATGATTGGCACTATACTAACTCCCATTTTATTGATAAGGAAACTGAGCCACAGAGTGGTGAGGTAACTTTCCTAGGTCATGGTGTCAAGGTCCAGATTTGAAATCTGGTCTTCCTAGTCCTAACATCCATGTTTTGGGCCACTGATGAAAGAAAAATATGACTCAGAGAGAAGTTGTCCATCAGACAAAACTTCCCTTCATGGTTGATGTTGTCTAACCACCTCTTTACTTCCACATGTTAGGGGTAAGGTGGAGTCCTAGGCAGAGGTGCTTCATCTTTCCCCAGTGTTGGCTATCTGTACTAGTGCTGGAGTGTTTACTGTATTCAAATCTATGGAACATTTTGATACTTTCTTAGTTCCATGTGCATACCACTATGCTGCCTGATTCAGTAATCCTATTGCAGTTACTTAAGCTCTCTGTGCTTCTGAGTCCACATTGGAAACTAGGTTATTTCTACTTGTCAACTTCCTGACTCAGAGGAATGCAGAAGACTAATGAGCTGATACTTGCAAATTGCTTTGAGCCATAAACCAGGACTAACAACTTTTTTTTTTTATATTCCCCATACAATTGCAACTCCCTTATTTTGACCCCAATCTCTCCTTTCTCCACCCCCAGGCCCCATAGTGTGTCTCTGGTTCATAGTTGTTTGTTAATTTTGACTTTTTCTTTCTTACAGTTATTCTTTTTAATGGTCCCTTAGTTAGGTTTTCTAGATTCCTGCTATGAATGAGACCATTTGGTATTTTTCTTTTTCTTTCTGGCTTATTTCACTGAGCATGATCCCTTCCAGCTCCATCCATGTTGCTGCAAATTGCATGAGTTTATCTTTTTTGATTGCTGAGTAATATTTCATTGTGTATCTATACCACATCTTCTTGATCCAGCCATCTATTTTTGGGCATTTGGGTTATTTCCAAAGCTTAGCTATTGTAAGTAGTGCTGCTATCACCCAAAGCAGTAATAGTGAAGGCAAAGATAAACAGCTGGGAGTACATCAAATTAAAGAGCTTCTGCACAGCAAAAGAGACAATAACCAAAACAAAGAGAAACCCCACCAACTGGGAGAAAATTTTTGCACACAACACTAATGATAAAGGACTGATCACAAAAATCTGCAAAGAGCTGATGAGACTCAACAAAAACAAAGAAATAATCCAGTCAAAAAATGGGCAGAAGAACTAAAAAGAAACTTCTCCAAAGTGGAAATGCAAATGGCCAACAGGCATATGAAAAAATGTTCAACATCACTTGTAATCAGGGAAATGCAAATCAAAACTACCATGAGATACCATCTAACACCAGTGAGAATGGCACATATTAAAAAAAAAAAAACTAGCAACAACAAATGTTGGTGAGGATGTGGAGAAAAAGGAACTCTCCTGCAACCTGGTCCAACCACTATGGAGAGCTGTGTGGAGATTCCTCAACCTACTAAAGATAGAGCTTCCACATGATCCAGCAATTCCACTCCCAGGTATTTACCCAAAGGACACAGAAACATTAATTCCAAAGGACTAAGTGAACTTTTAGAGAACAGTATGATTTGGAAATGGTTTTTAAGCAGGCAAAAGCTGTATAATATCTTCCTAGTAGCTTCTGTAAGTGTTCTTGCTTGAGCTGCCTGAATACCCTTTAATACAAAAACTGTTGGTCCACTATCATGGCTGCCTGAATTCTTCTCTAGTCTTAAAATGGTGCCACTCAAATAGAGGATGACTGTCTCTTAAATCTGGAAGATGCCCAATAGTCTGGGATTGTTCAAATTATGTGAAGATAAGCATTTCTAATTTAAAATGAGTTTCAAACTAGGAAATCCATTGCTTATTTTAAAAGATTAAAAAGAACTGGACCTACTCCAAGAAAACCTTTTAAACTAATAGCAAGCATCATACCTTAGCATTCAGTTCAAATGATAGTGATCTAATTGACACCACCAAGGGCAGAATCAATTGCAAAAATGATGTTGTTGTTGTTGTGGTGGTGGTGGTGGGGTGTGTGTGTGTGTGTGTGATGACTTATAGAAAAGATATGGGGGAAAAATATAAAGATGTGGGTAACAAGATGGCCAAGACAAAGAAAGTAGGAAGAGAAAGAATTTCAGCTGTTGGGATGATTAAAGCCCATTGGACACAAAAAGCATAAAGTCAGGTTTTTGTTGTTCTTGTTGTTGTTTTTTAAGAAAACCATGTCTGGGCCTCCCTGGTGGCACAGGCGCTTGAGTGCCGCACTGTGAAGCTGTCCGCAGCCTTGGCAGCGCCGGTTCGATCCCAGCCGGAGGGTGAGAATCCCACATGGTGAGGCAGACCTCTCCTGTCTTGCCTGCTGCTCCCCTCAGCAGTGTATTTCATCAGTCTGCCTGTTCTGTTCCCTGCTCTGTCTCTGGTGAATCCTCTCACCCTCCCGTGCATCTGGTCTGTACCCGGATCTTGTATAAATAAATAAATAAATCTTAAAAAAAAAAAAAGAAAACCATGTCTGATTAATCTACACTATCTAGTGGAATTTTCCTTCCATTTTTTTTTAGAGCATGGAGGTATTAGTTACCAAATAAAACAGACAACAAAAGCAGAGGGGGTGGTCATGATCTTTTTTTATATTTTACATCATTGTTCATTTTTAAACAATATTCGCTTCCCCCCACCCCCTCAGGTGTAGTCCCATAGAGTTTCCTTCACCAGTGCACAGGTGAAGTCCACTGTGCTCCTCCCTCCCTCCCTCTGATCCCTCTCCCTCCTCCTCCCCTGCAGTATGTCTCTGATTTATAATTGTCTGTTTGTGCTTTGTTGTGTTTTGTGCTGTTATTATTTTTTTACGCTAATGTCTTATTTGGTTCCCTGATATTCCTGCTATGGGTGAAACCATCGGATATTTTTCTTTTTCCTTCTGGCTTATTCCACTGAGCATAATTCCTTATAGCTCCATCCATGTTGCTGCAAATGGCATGAGTTTATCTTTTTTGATTGCTGAATAATATTCCATTGTGTATATGTACCACATCTTCTTGATCCAGTCATCTATTTTTGGGCATTTAGGTTGTTTCCATAGCTTACCTATTGTAAATAGTGCTGCAATAAACATAGGGGTGCAGGTGCCCTTTTGAATCAATGCTTTTGTGTCCTTTGGATAGACCCCTAGGAGTGGAATTGCCGGTCATATGGTAGCTGTATTTTTAGTAGACCGAGGAACCTCCAGACAGCTTTCCATAGTGGTTGGGTGTTCATGATTTTTTTTTTAAAGATTTATTTATTTATTTATTTATTTATTTATTTATTTATTTATACACGCACTGGGTACAGTCAGAAGCGCGGGAGGGTGAGAGAATTCACCAGAGCCAGAGCGGGGAGCAGAGCAGGCAGAAGGACCCAAGTACACTGCTGAGGGGGAGGGGAGCAGCCGGTGGCAGGAGAGGTCTGCACGCCATGTGGGACCCTCACCCAGTAGCCGGGGATCGAACAGGTGCTGCAGAGGCTGCGGGCAGCTGTGCAACCCAGCGCTCAACCGCTGCGCCACCGGGGAGGCCCGGTCATGATATTTTTAATGTCATTGTGAACTCAATAATTTAACCTTGTAAAAAAAATTTAACCTTATATTCATGTATCCTAAAGGAGGAAGTCATATTTGGGGGCAGCCATGCCTCTCCACACCTGAAAAAGGAAGCAATCATTGTGAGCTAATAAATGAACATGAACAGTGGGGACTAAGGTGGCAATTTAGTAGCAGAAATGGAGCAAACTAAAATTGCCTACAGAAAGAGTTAGAGAGAGAAGGAAAGAAATTGAACAACAGAAGGACTGTGGTAGATGGTCAAGACCATATGGTATTAAGGAAATGCAAATCTAAAACAAGGAGGGAAAGAGAGTTTTTTTCACACTGCTGCTGTGATATAAACCATTGCAAATAAAAGCTATGACATATTTGAGAAAAATTTAGATATAAGAGACTT